CTTCCTGGAAAATCCTGTCCTTAGCTTGTGAATGCCTAGTTTATTTATATTTAATGGAGCATATTTGTACAGTGCAGCCATACAAGTAGAAGCTGTTTATTTACCAATAAATGTCAGTTACTATTTTCTGGCACTAATTTAAATTATGGAAGACTGATTTTTTTTTTAAGTTGTAGCTCAGAAGCAGAAGCTTTTTTTCCCATACTGATTAAAATTGGTGGCTGGCTTGTTTTCTTTGAAGAGTATAATTGATATTCTGTTGTTAAAATGATATGGTTAGTAATGTTCATCATTTGCTCTTACACTGTGGTCTTTGATAAAATAACTCTGGAACCTTTTTCCTTCGTGTGGAATGGTACGAGTCTCTGCTGCAGTTCCTCGTGGATGTGGTATTGTGTGCATCGTACTCCCTGTGTTAGGACTGGTTTCTCTCTTTGGTTTTATTTATTTATTTATTTATTTATTTATTTATTTATTAAAGATTTCTGCCTCCTCCCTGCCACCGCCTCCCAATTCCCTCCCCCTCCCTCATCAGCCCAAAGAGCAGTCAGGGTTCCCTGTCCTGTGGGAAGTCCAAGGACCACCCACCTCCATCCAGGTCTAGTAAGGTGAGCATCCAAACTGCCTGGGCTCCCACAAAACCAGTACGTGCAGTAGGATCAAAACCCTTGGTCTCCATGTCAGCCTGGTTTATTCACCAGGAAGGATTTCACCAAACTTACCTGTTGGTTTTGGAAGTCAGTAGTGATCCTTTTTGTACAAACTGTATCATTTCTTCCAATTTATTAGTTGGAGTTCTTAAAGAGTTTTCTTTTATAAGTACTTTGATGGTTATTCATGTAGGAAAGATGGGGTAAACACTAGATCTTTCTTTTTATTTACTATTTTTCAGAGTAATAAAGTGGTACCCCAGCCACTTCCAAAGGTAAGTAATGAAATGTTTTTTTATGTAACTCTTTTTTTTTTTTAGATAATTCTTTTAATTCCAAGATTTGTTCCAAGGTTTAACTAGGTTTTTCATTAATATCCATTTTCTGTTCCAAGATCCACTCATGTCTTTGTAGCCTTCTGTGGCCTCTGCCACATTCTCAGTTATTTTATTTTCTGTGGTCCTGATGGTGCTGATGAGTTCATGTTAGACATTTTATAGAGCCCCCTTAATATGACTTTATCTGCTATTTTTCTCCTGATTAGATTGAGCTTATTTTACTGACTTTGAGAGGTAGAGGACGGAGGAGAGAAGGGGAGAGAGATGAAGAAGAGAAAGAAAAAAATCTAGTGTGTAAAGAGGTACACATATCCTTGTGCTATTACTTTGGCAGATTTCTCCACTGGACTTGACTCTTTTATCTCCTTTTTTACTTTTTTTGGATGGGGGGTCGCTAACACTAATGCACTTTGAAGAGGGCGAGTATATTGAGCTTTCCCTGTTGAGGTGGGGATATGTAATCTGTGCAGTTCTTCTGTAAGTATCCTCACGTGTGAACTTTTCCATTTAGTAAGTTTTCTCTCTTCTCATTTTGTAGTTTCTATCTTACATATATGTATTTTATAATTTAGGTTACAGTGTGATTTTGAGTCATTTATTGTCTAAGTTGTTCCAACTTTGAACATTAGAAATTTTCGAGATGACTTCCACAGTTTACTTTTTAATAGTTCTGAGACTTCAGAATGTTAAGCTCATGTGATTGCTGCCCTCAGACCTAGGACTAGTTGTTTTTTCATCATGAACTTGTAGATTTTAGTAGATAACTGCTATAATGGGTAGTTCTCCTGTTTGGACTGCTCCCTGTGGACACTCATCCCATGAGATTGTTCTCCTTTGGTCTTTTAATGTGCCCAAGTGGTTGGATGTTTCAGACTCCTTTTGTGCCTGTTCTGTGTCAGACTTAGAATCAACCACTGATTCAATGAGCCCTCAAGGAACCTTTTCTTAGGGATTAACTTCATAGTATTGGGATTTGCTGCTACTGGATGGATTATTGCTTCCAGAATTTTCAGTGGACAAATGTATGAAAGACATTTGGGTATTCGTTCTAGAAACAGTTTCATCAATTTATACTGTTTTATAATGTTTTACTCTTTTGGCTTTTTGAGGGGCCTGCCACTCATCTCTCAAATCACACAGGAAGGCTTATTCTTAGTTATGAATGCCTGGCCTTAGCTTGGCTTGTTTATAACCAGCTTTTCTTAAATTGTCCACACTACCTTTTGCCTCAGGGCTTTTATCTCTTACTCTGGCTGGCTGGGTGGCTGGCTCTACTTTCCTTCTCTCCCTGTTCTCTTGCTCCTTTCTTCTCCCAGAGTTCTCCTTCTCTTTGTACTCTCTGCTGCCAGCCCCACCTATCCTTGCTCCTGCCTCGCTATTGGCCATCCATCTCTTTATTAGACCATCAGGTGTTTTAGACAGGCACAGTAACACAGCCTCACAGAATTAAACAAATGCAGTGTAAACAAAGGTCACACACCTGAAAATATTCCCTAACATTATACTATTGATTTAAATGAAGATCTTAGATTTTTACTTTTTTTTTTTTAATATTTATTTATTTATTACGTATACAATATTCTGTCTGTGTGTATGCTTGCAGGCCAGAAGAGGGCACCAGATCTCACTACAGATGGTTGTGAGCCACCATGTGGTTGCTGGGAATTGAACTCAGGACCTTTGGAAGAGCAGGCAATGCTCTTAACCTCTGAGCCATCTCTCCAGCCCAGATTTTTACTTTTTGCTTTAAAAAGAAAATCATTGTGAAACATAAAATTCATGTGAAACATAAAATTCATGTGAAACATAAAATTCACCATCTTTAAGCATGTTGAGTGTTGCTGTGTGATACTGATGTTTTGTATGTTCACATTGTGTTGCCATGCTTGCAGATATTTTTTCATACTGAAAATAGTTTGTTACAATGACAATTAAATGCTACTCATTTGTCCACCTTTATCCCAGAACTCTGGAGACGGGGCAGGCAGTTCTCTATGAGTTTGAGGCCAGTCTGGTTTATATAGTTCAGGCCATCCAGGGATACAAAATCATTTCTATCATTATCCTTCCTTCTATAAATAACCATTTTCATTTTTGTTGTAGTGTTACATTTTAGCATTTTATGAAAATAGGTATAAATACACGTATGTGTGCACATATATATTTTTCCTCATGTTTATTGATTTTTTTGATATGTTTTACTCTAAACTCAGTAACAAACATTTGAGTTTAGGTGGGTTGGATATCAGCAGCAGCTCAGCTGTGTGCTTCTGACTCAGGGCCTCATGAAGTTGTAGGGCTTCACTAGGGCTGTGACATCCATGTCCTTAGATACATAGTTTAGAGACTACTCCTGAAGCTGGTAACAATAGGCTTTAATTTTTGCTGGAGGCCTCAGTTCCTCATTACATGCACAATTTATGACATAAAGCAGCTGGTTTTACCGAGTGGTCCATGGGGAAGCACATGAGCTTGACAGGGACAGAAGCTGCCTGGTCTTTTGTATCTCAGTATCAGAAGTCACATACCATCCTTTCTGCCATAAAGTATTGCTCACAAGGACAGGTGAATACCAGGAGTCTGGGATGGTGGGGCCCATGATTGGTTTAAGTATGACTATAAAAAGGAAGCATATTACCTGCACTTTTTCACTTCTTGTTTGGGGGGATAGAGAAGTGGGAGACAGGGCTCTCTCTCTAGCCCAAGCTGGCCTAGAACTCACTGTGCAGCCTAGGCTTACCTCAAACCTGTGGCATTCTTTCTTCCAGGGTCTCTCAAGTGCTGGGGTTACTGGCAAGAGCCACCATGCCTGACTGCCTCTCTACTCTTAATCTCTCAGGGTAGAAGTAGAGAGTCTTCATGTGTGGTGTGCAGCCCAGCACTGTGCTCTGACCTGTGCATCCAGTAGTGTAATCATCTACTCTGTCATTGTTGGCTCATCTTCAGCCTTCTATAGACTGTGCGGCAGTGACTAGCCTTCTACACTTACCATTATGTTATGTGTTAAGTGAATACAGTTTTTAAAACGCCTGCCAATAACCAATATTTATTCGTAAATTTATATCGCATCCTTTAGAATTTCAGAGTTTGAATAGAGGCATTTCTATGCAAACATACCTTAATTTTAATGTTTCTTCTAAATTATTTTTTGTTGTTGCTGTTTACACATATACCAAAATGACTGAAAAAAAAAAAAACCACTGCTCTTCTAATCTGAGCAGGGGATTCTAACACTTCAGCATATATTGTCAGTATAATTTCAGAGGAGTTGAAAAATGAGTTTATTGCCATTTCTTAAAGTTAAACATTTTGCTTAACCAAAGATATAAAATATATGGTATATATTTTAAAACACATCACTTAAGTGGAAACTTGACATGATTTTTAAGAGCCATTATAAGTGTTGTTATTTCATTAACTCCTATTCTAGTTGTGGTCAGGCATATTGACTGTATGACCTGCCTTGATAATCCCACTTAATAATTCTAGGGCATAGCTAGATTCTTTAAAAAAAAATTATAAACTGGGAATGGTTTTGCAAGCTTATTTTTGCTCTTTTTTTTATTTTTTAGATGAAATGTCAGATCTTAAATCTTGACTGAGATTTTTCCTGTCTTCAGTTTTCCCTTTAGTAGTGTAAATATTTAAGTATTCCTGTGCCCTGGTGACAGAAGATTCAAACAAACCAAAACTCGTATTTGTTTCAAAATCCAGTTCTACTTTCTCCTTCTAGTTTAATAGTAATGACTAATGCTGTGGAAATTTTATACTGGGATAATCATAAATTTTAACAGATAAGCCGGGCAGTGGTGGCGCACGCCTTTAATCCCAGCACTCAGGAGGCAGAGGCAGGCGGATCTCTGTAAGTTTGAGGCCAGCCTGGTCTACAGAGCTAGTTCTAGGACAGGAACCAAAAGCTACGGAGAAACCCTGTCTCGAAAATCCAAAAAAAAAGAAAAAAGAAAAAAATTAACAGGTAATTGAACACTTGCTTCATTTTCTTTCTCTGCAGGTATTGGGAGAATTGCTGCTACATCCTTAGGGAGTTTAACCAACCATGGGTCTGAAGATCTCCCCCTCCCCCCTGGCTGGTCTGTGGACTGGACAATGAGAGGGAGAAAGTACTACATAGATCATAACACAAACACAACTCACTGGAGTCATCCTCTTGAGCGAGAAGGGCTTCCTCCTGGATGGGAACGCGTAGAATCATCAGAATTTGGAACCTATTATGTGGATCACACAAATAAAAGGGCTCAATACAGGCACCCCTGTGCTCCCAGGTAAAGTAGCTGCTTCATTTCTGGCTTTCTGTTTTGAGACCATCCCTTGTTAGATTTTCGTCTAACGTCTAACATTTTATGAAGAGATAAGCATCTTGAAGCTTGAGATTTTAAATAGTTATTTCTCAAAATTGATATTTATCCTAGGTATATTTTAGTAATGAATGATTTTAATAATTAGATTTTAAAAATATTTTCTCTGAGAAACCTGAAACAAATGTCTTTGTGATCATATTCCAACTAGAAGAGATGCCAGAACCCTTTTGTTGTAGATACCCAGAAATTAAAGTTAATAATCACCTGTTTGTTCATCTTAAATTCTCATCAGGTAGATCCACCTCCTAGTAAGTCAGAATATTATTACTTCAAAATTTTGACATCTTCCTTTTCTGACACAATTTCATGTTGTTTTCCTACTGAAGTAAAAGTTGGAATGGAACAGTCTAGCTTCTTAGTACATACAACCAGCAATTCTTTGGTCTGCTCTGAATGATACTTTAAGCCTTGTGCTATCTAGTATTGTAGCCAGTTGTCATGTGTGGCTATTGAGCAGTTGAAACTAGGTTAATGCAGTTGAGATTGCTGTAAGTGAAAAATAGTCACTGTACTTCAAAGTACATATAAAACTGTATTAACTTAATAGTGAAGAAACAAATGTTTCACATTAATCATGTTTAAGCTGCAAGAACTGAGTACTAGTGGGTAAAATGCCATAAGCACATTGATAGGTACTGCCTAGGGTCATCTGACTAATACAATTTGTTGGTTATGATGGATCATAATTTTAAGAAACATTAAATTCATGAGAATACATTTTAGAATTACCAAGGCTAATTCTAAACAGGGTTAACATTATCAGTGTATTGCTTTAAACATTTTAGTGACTCAACCTTGAAAGTATTTTTTTCCAGTGATTTACATTTGGTAGCATGTAGCCAGCTTTATTGAATGGCTTCATGAAGTTGTTGAACTGAGCCCATGGGTGTGGTCTGCTGTCCCACAGTAGCAGTCTTCCAGCCAGATGTAAAAGGCCACCCTCTGTTTCTCACACCCGATATTATTGTAACGTGTTGATGGTTTATAAAGTTTTCCAAATGATTGTCCTCTCAGAAAGTCAGCACTTCCCAGTTCACAGAGTAGCGTTAATAACTGCTGGATTATATGACAGTCTTTATACAGAACTTGTAACTTAGACATCAGTCCATTAGCTCTTGGGAAAAGTCATCTGTGGTAAGAATTTATTGTCCACTTTTACAAATCAGGAGGTAGAAGTAAAGTACAGTAAGGCAGTTCTACATTTCATACAGATTATAGGTGATTAAAACACAGGCTGGGCATGGTCACTCACACCTTCAGTCTTGGCACTTGGGAGTTAAGGCCAGCCTGGTCTACATAGAGAGTTCTAGATAGGGCTGTATATTGAGATCTTGTCTCAAAACACAGGCATATTTGATTTTAAAGCATATGGTATTAATTACCATTTCCCTTTGGATCCACTTATTAAAAATGTTGAAGATATAATTAGTGCAATTTTCATGTTATCTGTAAAATGACAGAGTTGGAGCAGTGACTCAGTCATCATGAACACTTGCTTTTTCAGAGGTCCTGAGTTTGGTTCCCAGAGCCTCTGTCAGGGGTCTGTATGGTGGCCTGTATCTCTAGCTCCAGGGTATATGCACCCACTTCAGATCTCCACAGGCACCCCGTGTGTGTGTGTGTGTGTGTGTGTGTGTGTGTGTGTGTGTGTGTATGTACACACACAGAGATATAAATATAAATAATCTTAAAATAAACAGACCGTTAACCATAGTATAATCTAGACCTTATTTTAATGCCAGTTAAGCAAGCAGTGACCTTTTTTATATTCACGTCTTTTATGTTTAGAGGCAGATTCATTTGTTTTGTCTTCTTGCCTGAAATAGCTCAGTCTGGCGTCCCAGAATTCACTCTGTAGCCTGCAGGTGTTGAGTACTTTGCACCTTAACAAACAGTTCAGTCCTATACAACTATTCCTCCCCACTCAGCTTACAGAGGCTGTTAGTGCTAATTGAAACATGATCCTTTTTAATTCTCTATGATTTAAAGTAGGCTCTAGGCAACTCCCAGTTGCTTTCCTAACCTGGCACGATGCCCAGTCCTGCTGCACTCTATACCCTGACCTCACCTTTTCAGTTAGCAGGAAGGAGAAAACAATCCTCTTTTGTTTTGAGAAAAGCTATAGACCTTCCCAATGTATATGTTGGCAAATCACAAGTTATTTGCAAAAATCTGCGCCTATAAGCCTTGTATAAAGGTTAAAACTAAGACTAGCTTCTTTTCACCTTTGAAGCTGTTCTTAGAAAGAATGAATACCAGCCAGAAGAAATGTCTTAAAATAAGAAAGGTTTAGCTTGGTTTATGTTGTTGCTTGTTTTTGTAGATTTGAGTTTTATTAAAATTTCACATGAACAAGAAATTGGAAATACAATCACATCAAAGAACAAACTATCATGGCTTTGATATATAAGCCAAATAAATTTTGTAGAGCAGACTTCAAAAATGTCTGAAATTGTAACAATGCTAATTGTACACACATAGCTTATTTCCAATACAGAAAGCCTTAAGTCTCTTCAGTTTCCTTTTTGAAGACTACAAAGGCAGAGCACTAGCTTGTATCTTTATTTACAGCATACTTCATACACCTATGAAATCTGTTCTGAATCCAGAAAAGTAAAACTGTCCAAACCAAAGGTTCTGATTTAACAGATTGTTTCGAAGCTAAAATGAAGCCTGGAACAATAAAAGCATAATAACCCCACAGTAAGGGAACTCTGCGAGCCCAGTAATGTCCAAGAGCATTTATGGAAAGAAGAAAAATAAAAAGCCTGGAGTATGTACACAATAGTGATTTATTCACCTGAGTACAAATGGCAGCAAACTACTACTTCAAGATGGAACAGTTAGGCCAATTTTGTATCCTTTGGAGCTCTCACTTGTCCATTTCCACTGTTGCCTCTCAATATCCTGATAAAATTCTTGGTCTTCATTATTGTAACCATAGTTAACATAATAGTTGCCACCTTGCTGAGCTGTTCGTCTATAGGTTAGGACACCTGGAGTCAGGCTGGTTGTATCCATCTCCTTTTTTCTTGCCTCCTACATTGCCCCCTCAGTTTCTGAGTCCCACAAGGACCATGGCCTCTCTGCTGTTCCACACGACCCCCTTTGCCACTTCTTGAGTCTCTTGGTGGTCATAAATATGCCCCCTTGTTGTTTTTTTACTCCTTGGGGGCCCACCATCCAGCTTCCAAATAATCACACCAGAGTCGTATTACTTATAACTGCCCAGCCTTAGGTTGACTTCTTTGTAGCCAACTTTCTTAATGTAAATTATCCCATCTACCTTTTGCCTCTGGGCTTTTGTCTTTCTCTATTTCTGTATTTCTTTTACTTCTTACTCCACGGCTAGCTATGTCGCTAGCCCCTGAAATCCTCCTCTTCTCCTTTTCTTGCTTTCTATCTTCTCTTCCCAGATCTCTCCTGTTTATTCTGCCTGCCAGCCCTACCTATCCTTTTTCCTGCCTCGCTATTGGCTGTTCAGGTCTTTATTAGACCAATCAGGTGTCTAATTAACACAGGCAAAGTAACAGCTTCACGAAGTTAAACAAATGCAGCATATCTTTGCATTCCACAGCATAAACAAATGTAACACATCTTAAAATAATATTCCACAACACCCACTCCCCATGAATAGCTAGTTCTACCTCATAGATACTATGCTCCTGGGCCCCCTTAGTGGTGGTGTAACACCTCACCCTCTCCCTCCTCCTCTTCCTCTCACTGCATAACCATCATCATAGCCGTAGTGTAGGGATCTTTGTATCCTCCACAATAGCTGTGATAATCATAACCACAGTAATCATCGCAGTAGCTTTCATACTGTAGTATGAAAGGATAGATATGGAGGGTAGTCATATCTGCCTCTCCCTCCACCATGGCCTCAGCATCTTATTTGGAGTAATCGTCATACGTAGCACTTCTGCAGGCCTAGCAGCTTGGCACTCTTTCCTGTTCTTCTCTGGTGGCTTAGCTGAGACGTTTCAATCCTTCCCTTCTGCTTCTTTTCCATGCACTTCAATCAGAGCCTCAAGAGTAGCTCTTCTGTTTTCAAAATGAAGAAAATGCATACTCTTTGACTTCTTCACTCCAGCTTTCCAAACTCAGAAAATGACTTTTCCAATATTTCTTCCGTCTTTGTAGTAACCAAGTTTTCACAAATAAAACTTCACATTAGCCATGACTTTTGAATCTGGTTCTTCCACAGGGTCAGCCCATTCAGCTGTGATTTAGTCAATGTCCTATTGCTGTGAAGAGAGTATTACCCAGCCACTCTTATAAAGAAAAACATTTAATTGGGGCTATCTTACAGTCCCGAGGTTTAGTCCGTTATGTTGGGAAGCATGGTGGCAGGCAGACGCAGACATGGTGCTGGAGATGTTGCTAGCTGACAGTTCTACATCCGGATTAGGAAGAGAGACACTGGACTTGTCCTCCTAGTGACACTTCCTCCATCAAAGCCACACCTACTCCAACAAGGCCACACCTCCTATAGTGCCACTTCCGGGTGGGACCAAGCACTCAAATCTGTAAGTCTGTGGAGGCCATACCTATTCAAAACCACCACAAATTGCTAACTCCATTTCCTCATAGTTTTACTTTTCCACTCATGGGTCATTGTCTGGCTTATGCTGCTGACTTGTGATCTTCAGGTTGATGATAGAGAATAATGTCTACCAAACTCTCTGTAAAATCTGTGACTTTACTAAACTCTTCTAGAATGTTTTCTTTAGTCTTACTCTTTGGAAAGTCTTGTTTGCCACAGAAATGCACACTCCCAGGTGTTTGCCAGGACAAATTCCATAGCTCTCACACAGGTTTAACTGCTGCTGGGGCAGCTTCCTTCCCCAGAAGGTGAGAGACGCATATCCTCTGTCCTGACCAGAGTGGGTCCATCATGAGACAGAACCAGATAGATCTATAGATCCCAGATGGCACCAGCCTTCTTACAAAGGGATACCAACTCATCCACACACAAGTCTCCTGGATTTTACCTATGAAGACCTCTGTTTCAATTCCATGTTGCACACCTGAGTACACACTGTCTGGTGGGGGACCACCATACTTCCTTTGTCCTGTGGTTACATCCAGAGTATAACCATCTTCTCAAGCAAGGCTTCATCGGACCCCTTTGTGGACTCTTGCACCTTGTCCTGTTTCTCTCTTTGCTTTAGGTCTTCATAACTCCACGTAGAAATGCACCTTTGTTTGTATAAAATGGTGAGAGAAGACTTTTGCTTTGGGCTTATGCCACAGAAAATCTTTGTCCCCTGAACATGAGATAATGCATCCTTGGACTACTGTAGTCTAGACAGCGTCTTCTTCATTAAGCAGGAGCATAGGTTGCTCTTTTGTCAAGATCAACCTATGCTGCCAGCCCTGTCTGAAACATTTCATCAAGCCTCTCTGCCATCTTCTGCAGGAGGCCTGCATCTATCAGTGTCTTGTAGTGTTCTATGTGAGCTACACTGTAAGTTTTCATGGGTTCTTCCTCTTCGAACTATTCTGCCTGGTTAGCTATTAAGTGTCCTTCCTTCATATCTTAGCTCAAAGCATATAGTATGAGGATGGGGTGGGAGGCATCCCCATACATTGGCACCTTGGTCTCTTGGCTCAGGTAACCCTGGGATTGGCACCCGACCTTCAGCCTACCCCACCTCCTTGGGAGCAGCCTAGTTCTCAACACATCCCATTCGTTTGTAGGTCAGGCCTGACTAAGGAGAAGTGCTAGAGTTGGGAATGCAGAGAGCAGCCGGGTGGGGACAGGGGCAGGAGGATCTCTGGGCCAAAGCCTCAGAAGGGCTGAGGAATAAGCAAGGGAGAGAAGGCACCTGGGTGGGAACCAGGCCCAGGGGAGCTGTCTCTGGCCCATCCCTATCCACACCACTCCCCTTAACTTAGTGATAGATAAACACCCAATAGCATATCAGCTTCCAAAAGATGGAGTGTATGTTCATACAGTATAGTTAAAAAAATACTCAGACCCTTATCATAGAAAGTTCTGTTAGGGGAGGAAGATTTTGATTTGGCCAAAAAGCACATTAAAAAGCCTTAAAAGCTATATAGTCATCATAATTTCTGGCCTAGGTGAAGGGCTTCTGTTTTAATAAATGTCAATTCTTTCTTCTCAGCGTCCCTCGGTATGATCAGCCTCCTCCTATCACATACCAGCCACAGCAAACTGAAAGAAATCAGTCCCTCCTGGTCCCTGCAAATCCTTACCATACTGCAGAAATTCCTGACTGGCTTCAGGTTTATGCCCGAGCCCCGGTGAAGTAAGTGAGCACACAGCACCAGTGTCTTTGGGGTCTCTTAACAGGCTTAAGAAGTACATGCCTGGGGTTGGAGAGATGGCTCAGAGGTTAAGAGCATTGCCTGCTCTACCAAAGGTCCTGAGTTCAATTCCCAGCAACCACATGGTGGCTCGCAACCATCTGTAATGGGGTCTGGTGCCCTCTTCTGGCCTGCAGGCATAGACACAGACAGAATATTGTATACATAATAAATAAATAAATAATTTTTTTTTTTTTTTTTTTAAAGTACATGCTTAGCTGGGCAGTGGTGGTGCAGACCTGTAATCCCAGCTCTTGGGAGGCAGAGGCAGGTGGACCTCTGAGTTTGGGGCCAGTGGGGTCTACATAGTGAGTTCTAAGACAGCCAGGGCTATACAGAGAAACCCTGTCTTGGGGGGGAGGGGTAGGTAAAGAAGTATCATGCTTCTCTTATAATATTGGACTTTTATGTAACATTTAAGAAAGGATATCAGAGCTTACAAAGTTTGACTCTTTGATTAGAAGAATTCTTCAGAGATGTCTGAATCCTCATTACTTTGTGTCCAGACCTCCAGTGATGGATACATAAGAATACTAAATGCAGACAAGTTTAATATTTGTTGTTTTCTTTTACATTTTTATAAGATTAAATGTAAGCTGATGTATTTATATCCCCTCCCCAAAAAAAACAAAACAAGGTGAGAGCTTGGCATACTGATGAACAGAGCAGAACTCTTGGAGATGAAGTTCTTTGTTAGGAGTTCCGAGTTTATTTCAGGGATATTATAAGTAAATTAAACTACCTGAATGACAGCAGTTCTGGGAAATGCTTGAGCTGTAACTGCTTCTTCATGCAGCTCAGTTCCTGTTCACAAGGAGTTAGGTTGCCCAGGTTTCTGCAAGAAATCAGTCTAAATTAGTTAAGTTTCCAGTCCTCCAGGGCCAGTGTGGAAGTGGAGGTCCAGCGAAGCTGTCCTGAGGCTCTGCTGGGCTTCCTGCTGCGCACCCAGGACAGCTGCTTCAGTCACTACTCAGTATATATATATTTTTAAAGCCATATATATTTTTATATTAGATAGATAGTCCTTTTGGAATAAAATGGCAAATGTACCCATTAGATATGATTATAGGTAATTATTGAAAATAAACCTAGAGTTTGTAATTAATGCTTGCTTTTGTCTGCCCTGCAGTGATGAGATATGACTTGGTAACATAGGTACATGACTTTGTGTTTACATTCCTCTAAGCATGGACATTCACTCTGAAAACTGAAATAGGATGTGGATTTTGGAAATTACAGAGCCATTATAGTTTGCAGTTGATATTAATGGTTGCTCAGGTCTAATATTAAAATTGATTCTTAAAATAGATGGGCAATCTTTAACCTAAAGTAATATTTAACAGCTTTTTCCCCTTCCTTAAAAATAATAGTGTATTTGGAGCTGGAGAGAGGGCTCAGCTGTTAAGGCCACGGGCTGCTCTTGCAGAGGACCCAGGTTCAGTTCCCAGCACCCACACGGCTGCTCTCCACTGTCTGAAATTCCAGTTCCAGGGGATCCAGTGCCCTTTTTTGGCTTTTGTGGGCACCAAGCATGCATGTGGTGCACAGACACATCGTGTGGGCAAAAATACCCACACACATAAAAATCTCAAGTTAAAAAAAGTTCTCAAATTAAAAAAAAAATGTGTACTTAGGGCTGGAGAGAGGGCAGTTAAGAGTGCTTGCTGCTTTTGCAGAGAACCCTGGTTCAGTTCTCAGGAACCATAAAAACTGTCTAAACTCCAGTTCCAGGACATCTGATGTCTTCTCCAGCTTTCTTGGGCACCAGGCCTGCACACAGTGCACTTGCATGCATGCAGGCAAAGCATTCATACACAGAAAACTGTAAGTGCATTTTAAAAAGAGGGAAGTGGAAAGGAGTGTATTTAGAGCCATGTGCAGTAGCATGCTCCTGTGTTCCCAGACACTGAGGAGGGTGAGGCAGGAGGGTACCCTGAGCCCAGGAGGTCAAGGTCAGCATAGGTCCCCAGCTCAAAACGAAAGAAACAAAGTATCTGAATGGCAAGTTTTACTAACTCAAATATTTTTTAAATAAAAGTTAGTTTTACTTATAATACAACGGTCTATAAAAAGTACCAGTTTGTTGTTGTAAGTGCTCATGTATTATGTTCTGAACACTGTTTTATGACAGATATGACCACATTTTGAAGTGGGAGCTCTTCCAGCTGGCTGACCTGGACACATACCAGGGAATGCTGAAGTTACTCTTCATGAAGGAACTGGAGCAGATTGTTAAGATGTACGAGGCCTACAGACAGGCTCTTCTCACTGAGTTGGAAAACCGCAAGCAGAGACAGCAGTGGTATGCCCAGCAGCACGGCAAGAAGTTTCTAAGTTAACTTATCACATCCAAGCTTTGTAAGAGCTTTAACATTTTCAGATAAGTGACTGCAAACAACTACTTTAGTTAATAAAGGCAACTTACTCTGGAATTATAAAATTCTAGTTTTACATATATTTTGTTACCAAAATTTTTCTTTTATTGAACCAAAAAAGTTTTATCATTTAAAGAGCTGATATGGTATACACTTCCAAATGCTGTCTATTAAGAAGCTGCTTTGGTCGTCTTGAAAAGGAGTGCAGGAAGAAAACAGCATCATAACCAGGCGCTGGCAAGCAGTCACTCTTCTGACGGAATACACGCTTCTTGTGCAGAAAAAGAAAGAGGGTGAGAACTTAATTGTGTGTGAAGTACTTTCTGGAATAAGGTGGATTGGCCATTCCCATGGGTGTGCTGGGACCTGTATTGTGATGGACTTGTATACAAGTATGTGGTCATCTCCTCCCCCTCCTCCCTAATGTAAAGGGGCACTTTTGCAGCGGGCAATAGAGCCTTTCAGCAATACATTGAACACAAAGCCTTAGCCTGTGTGGGGAAAGTTGTGCAACTGTTACTAATACTGCTTCTTTCCTTTGAGCCAGAGCACAGAACTCCAGTTAGCAAGGCTCCGGTGACACAACACAGGCTTCCTGACCACATAGCACGCTGCCTGCACCAGGCTGGGCTAAGTTGCCAAAAATGACAATCAGGGATCCAGTAAGAACTCTTGGTCACTTGTAAGTTTTATATTATCTTTTCTTAGAGAAGTATTTGTCATAAAGGTTTAGAAACAGGCCATTCTTCCCCATTTTTCTTACCTTTGGCTTATACTTGTTTATAATTAGTGCCAAACACTTAAGATAAATTTATGGACCTTCCAGCTGTAAATCTAGAATTCTGTGAGTTTCCTAGCTCTTCAGTTGTGCTTACAATTGTTGTGAATATGTATATATTTTAGTTTAGTTTTCCTAAATTTAAGCACTCCTTGTTAGAAGTGAGTTTGAATTATTGATAAAATTTTGTGTTTTAACAAGTTATTAAATATATTTTTGTGGAAACCGTCTGGTCCTTGAGTCCATAATTTGGTGTTTTAGAGTCAGTATGATGTTTGATGCTTTTCTGTTCAGAAGGCCCAGTAGCCAAGGAAGCCTACAGTGAAGGGAGGTTGAAGTGTGACTGGTGGGAAAGGGAGTTTACTGAGCGTAAGGCCAGTGTCTCTAAAGGACGGACGCACAGCTTTTGAACTGCTTGTCTCTCCTGTCCCTATGACTTTTTGTTCGCCATTACTGACACAGTTAATGCCTGTTTGGGGGCTCCCAGATCCGTAAGAAGCATTACCTTTCTCCCGTTACTACTTTCCCCTCTCTTGAAAACCTTTTTGTTCTCAAGACAGGGTTTCTCTGTGTGTTCCTGGCTGTCCTGGAACTCATGGTGTAGACCAGGCTGGCCTCGAGTTCACAGAGATCCACCTGCCTCTGCCACCAGTGTGCTGAGATTAAAGGTGTGTGTCACCATGACTCACCTCCCACCTCGTTTTTTATTTTCCTCTAAGGGGTCTGGTTTACTTAATAAAACTCCATAAAGATTTCAGTCATAAGAAATAAATTATAGACTCACGGTTTCCATGACCTGGAAGGATGCTGCAGACAGCAGCACATGCATGCATGCAAGCTCAGGACTTGGGGAGGGAGGCAGGATGATCACAGTTAAAGGCTGGCCTGAGCTGCATGGCAGAACTGTATCTAAAAATATAAAATGAAACTTTTTTTTTAAACCAAGTCACAGGAAAGAACTAACAAGATTAGCTCATGTTTCTTAAGTTTGAAATGGTATCAGAAATAGTGTATGGTCATGCCATCCTAAACACCTACACTTCTCATGAAGTGTTAACAGAAAGAAAATGTATCTTGAAGTAAAGTGGAGAGAGCCCTTCAAGCCACATCAGCACCCCCAATAGTTCTAGAGTCAGTAAGCATTTGTTTTACTGTTAGGAACCAGAGTAAAGTTTAATAGTTGGCATATTAAAAGAATAAACCTATGAAGAATACATTTCTGATGTACCAAATGAAAAAACAGACAGTGCAGGGAAACTCAAACACATACAAAACCATGTTTGTGCATTTTTGATCAAGAGATTTACATTCTATATTAAATCATAAATATAAAAGAAACAATGTATAGTTTTTGGTAAAGCAACTTTTAAGCTCTTAAATATATTTCAAGATAAGAGCCTCTGGTATGTATAAGATTATATAGATTAAATCAAGCCTGCTGAGTTATGCTGTACTTTAACAAATAGCTATGCAAAATAACTAAAATTTTCTATAGAAATTAAATGAGCATATCCAAACCTGGAGTGCTCTCACGCAATACTTAATTATAACCCAGAGCAGAACTTAGTAAAGTCAAGCAAAACACTTCTACTGCCCCCGGATTTACAAATACCTGAAATGATAACAGCATATTTTAAGAAAAAAAATCAGGAAACTGCACGTATTAACAAATGACCATGCATACATACATCCGCTTATCAGTCACTGGAGTAAAGGAGTGAACCGTCGGAGTCCTCGGGTGTGTGGCTTTCATTCTGCTCAGAAAGAAGCACTTTGAATGTTTGCATGGAAACAGACTTTGATAGCTAAGTGGCAAGTGGTCATGCACTGAAATCGACTTAGATTTTCTTCTTTTCTGGTTGCTCAGTGGGCTCTGACTTTGGTGCAGGAAAAGCTTGGTGATACAGGTGTCTGTGGGTTGCTGCTGCACTGTAGAGCTTGTAGAGCGCCTGGGAGGTAAGAATCAGGGTTGCAAAACAGTGAGCACACAGGTATACCTTCCCCCTCCCCCTATAGTACTATATCAAATTCAGCATTTTTGTATATGGTGTGCATGTATGTGTGCGCAGGTATGGCTGGAGGCCAGAAGTTGTTGGGTGTCTTCCTCTATCGCTCTCCACATTGTATATGCGGCAGGGTCTCTCAGCAGTTTGGTCAGTCTAGCCAGCAAGCTTGCCCAGAGAATTCCATCTCTGCCTTCTAAGCATAGGGATTATAGGTGGGCCACCACATCCACCTGATACTCAAAGTGGTTATTGGAGACTTGAACTCAGGTTCTTACCCTTGGGTAGCAAATGGTTTACCCACTGAGCCATCTTCTCAGACCTGAACTGATATTCTTTATATCATCCTCTATCAAACACAGACCTAGGGAGGGCTGGAGAGATGGCTCAGCAGGTTAGAACACTGGTTCATCTTCCAGAAGACTTGGGTTCAAGTCCCAGTATCCACATGGTGGTTCACAACTACCTGTAACTCCAGTCCTAAGGGACCTGACGCCCTCTTCTGGCTTCCACTGTTACTGCATGCACATTGTATACAGACGTCCATGCAGCTGAAACACTCACGCTGACCAATAACTAATATCTTAAAATGTATTTTCAGTTCCCTGGCATGTGTTACTGGTTGAGCTTCCCAAGTTTTACTCTCTGACAGCACTTCCTTTATCTTAAACATCTCTTAGCATACTGTCTCCCAGCCCAATTGTTTTCCATGTCCCAGGGACTTGTGGACATCTCATTGTGAATATTGTCAGTTTTACACAACTTAGACCTGTAATTTCCGTTGTGAATCTATTTTTTGGAATGGGCTGCTTTTCCATTCTTTGTGTGCTGGGTGAGCTATAGAGGTATTGTTCCTTCCCCACGCTGGGCTCCCCTGTTTACTCCTTTACTCCAGAGACTGATAAGCAGATGTATGTATGCATAGTATTTGTTAATATGTGCAGTTTCCTGATTTTTGTCTTTAATACGCTGTTATCCGAGGTCAGTAGATGTGTTTTTGCTGGACTTTGCTCAATTATAGTAAGGGTTATAATTAAATACTGTGTGCTAGCACTCCAGGTGTGGATGTGTTCATTTAAGTGGGATACATGTTCTCCTGCTGCACAGAACCTTGTTCAGAAACACCGCTTCAGAACATCTTCCCTCACTGAAATGACCTCTGGCTATTCCTTGTATTGTTTTAGTGAATCAAAAGAATGTTGGGTTTTTCTTGAGATTTGGTTTCACTATGTGTTCCACATTAGCTTCAAATTTATTATCCTCCTCCCCCGCCCCGCTGAGTGCTGGGATTGTGGACATATGTCACCGCACCCAGCAATCATATTTTTCCATGTTGCACATTTTTGGGTAGTCTAAGAATCACAGTTTTTCCTCTTAACTAGGGTGTAAGAGCTCTCCCTCTGACTGTCACAAACTGAACACTCAATTCTGACTCACTCACTCTTGAGTCTGTAGTTTAATATTTTTAAGAACTGGGTAAAAGCTTAATATTTAGCTATTCTCAAGAAGTTTTTCATTTGTGATTCTATATAGCTGTTTTCTTTTTAAAAAATTTATTAATGTATCTTATGTATATGATGCTTTGTTTTCATGTATCAAAAATGTCATATGTAATATATGTATCATAAATATCAGAAGAGGGCACTGGGTCCCATGAAGTACAGTTACAGACAATTGTGACCTGCTATGTGGGTGCTGGGAATTGAACTCAGGACCTCTGGAAGAGCAGCCCCTGCTCTTAGCCACTGAACCATCTCTTTGGCCCCTATAGCTAAGTCCATCCTTGTTCTGATACATTCTGCTCCTGGTATACTTAATTCCAGTTTTCTTCAAGTATTAGGTTCCCCCACCCAAGGTTTTATGTACAAAGTTGAAATCTGTTTTGTCTAGTGAGTTTAGTTTGCTTTTTACATAAAGTAGCTGTTATTGACTTTAAAATATTAAATGTTCCATTGGGATTTGATTAGAAGACATAATTCACTCATACAGTCAAGGAGAAACTGAGGAATTAAGATTAGCTTTGAAAAAAATAACAGTTCTGTAGACATCATTTTTCTTAGTGTAATTGTTTCTAGAAACGCAGTTTCTTATTCATACATACATGGAAAGGAGAAAGGAATGCTGGTTCACAGGCCAGGTTTGAGATGTGCAAAGAAAGCATGGATGCATCCTGTGATGGAACCTTCTTATAGTCTGAGTAGCTGTCAGCTCAAAGCCAAAGTCCTTAAGGTGGCAGCTGCATCTAAAACCCCCTCTGTGGTGGCATTACTCAGATTGCAGACCTGCTGGCATCACCGTAGAAGAGCAAGGGACACGGTGATGATCAGTCTTCATGTTCACCCTTACGGGTTTTGGAATCCCTATGGAAACATCTCTGGGTATTTCTATGAAGTTGTTTCCAGAATGATTAACTGGGCAGAGAAGACCCATCCTCAGTGTGGGTAAGGCCATGTATCCCATGGGCTCTGATCCCAGAGGGAATAAAAAAGATGCTTAGCCTCAGCATCCACCTCTCTCTGCCCCCTGGCTGCAGCTGCCTCGTGCTTCTGCCACCATGCCTTCTCTGCTGCCATGTCCTCTTAAACTGAGCCAACTAAACCTTTGTTCCTGCGTGTTTCCTTTTGTCCAGTATTTGACCACAATGGGGAAATTTAATATGCAATATTAGAGCTTAAAACATGAAATTTTCTACAGTGGAACTAAATCAAGTACTCTTTAATGACACTTCTATGCAAATTAAATACAACAAAATATTTGGGATATGTTAAACATTCATACAAACATTTTAGAGAAGTATTTTCAAAGATATTCTATAATATCTAGTCAGTTATAAAGTAGGAATATCACATTTAGAAATATGTTTTAATTAAAAAATGTTAACTTACCTCATTTGTGCTTCCCTGTGGCGGAGGCAATTTTAAAAGAAAGAAAAGTATTATATCTTGCTTAATAACATAATTTTCTACTTCATTTGCAATACCAATTGTGAGCATTAAGAACAAATTCTCCTGAAGATTCAGTTTAGATTCTGCATTTTATCAAAATATTTTAAAGAACCCAATTCTGTATTTCCTATAGGTTTTAACATTGTGTTCTAGCAGGATTTTGAGGTTTACACAGGTAACCTGTCTTTAGCCTTGAGAGACTCTGAGATAATGAGCAGCTGGGGCCCCAGAGGCGCTGCATTCATTCCATGTGCTCTTATCAGTTTATTTCAGCTTGATTGACGGCACACAGCTCAGTAGTTACCATTCTATTGCAGAAAAGTGTGCTCTTCATGCTGGGGCTGGGGGCTGTGCTACTGTTAGCTACCTCTAGACCACAAATGTTCAAAGGCTTAAAGGGTTAAAATGTCTACTAAACAGTTGTGTAGGACATACTGTAGTTGTTCATATCTTGCCGTGTTGTAAAGTTTTAAAGAATGGGCCCAAGTCATGTTTACTTGTGTATTTCTGATACTGAATGAAACACTAATTACACAATGTGTGCAGAATTTATCTGAGGAAAATGAAAAGAACTCTTACCTGGTCCCACAAGGCTGCAGCTACCTGGTCGATTACAGCACCCAGCTCTCGGTACTCTCCAGAGTAGCGGATGTACGCCCAGGTGCACAGGGTGATGAGGGTCAGTCCCATGATCATGTTGCACAGACTGGCTATGATGTCCAGCCCAATGAACCCAGTCACACCAGCAATCACGTACGTGATAAAGATGACAACGAACAGTGTGGCTGGGGTGCGAGCTGCATGGAAGATATTTTTGCTGTCATTGTGCTTGATGTACTGGATGTAAAGTTCATCGATCTCGCTCTCCAGCTGCTGCAGGTACCGCCGGCTGAACTCCTCACCACCCATCTTCTTCACCCCTCGGAATAACTTCACAGATTCCTCTTTCAGCTGCAGGTGCTTGCTCTGCAGGTCATTAGGGGCCAGAAATGGTTTGTCACCACCACAAATCTGTCAGAGAGAGAAGTGTTTGTTTATGTAACAGGGAGTATATGATCAACTGTATCCAAATTTTTCACGAGTAGGTGACTTTGTTAGAGCACACTGGAATTGCTGCATAGGAATGATGAATTGAGTGACAGCCTACATTCCCATCCCTAGTGACACTGCATGGTACAGATGGTGTGAGCGACCTGCAGTCGCATAGACAATTACATGCACTACAGAATCCGGACTGTCCATCCTTAGAGTCCATTTCTACTTATTAGAAGTTCACTGTAATACAGTATTCTATTATACTAACTACAGTCTCATACCTCTTGCGTTTGTTTTTGATTGTGTCAGGAAGACAAGTTGAGTGAGTGACCTAAAACATCTAGGTTTATCTAAGTACACAGTGATGCTTGCATGACAAAATTACTTGATGCATTTCTCAAAATACAATCTGTCAAGCGCCAGGAAGAAGGCTGCGTATGTGTTGCCGGTTCACATGGCTCCATATCCCTGAGGCATAACTATGAAAGGTGGCGGTGGAATGGCTTAGATAGGGGTTTTGTTGTTGTTTTGCCCAGCCCCTCTCTTTTAAGATGCAGCAAATAGTATCCATGACTTAACCAAGTTCTTTAAGATAAAAAAGACATGACCCAATATAATTGCCAACTCCTTGTTAACAGAATGAAAACAAAGCTGAGAAAACTGCTTATATTGCACTTCTTCTAGAAGTCAAATGATACTGAAGTTATTTGACCAATGAAATTTAATTTAAAATAATCAGTACTCTAAAGCTCTTGAACAGGGCTGGAGAGATGGCTCAGAGGTTAAGAGCACTGGCTGCTCCTCCAAAGGTTCAATTTCCAGCAACCACATGGTGGCTCACAACCATCCATAATGAGATGTAGTTCCCTCTTCTGGCGTCCAAGCATACATATTTTCCTTAGCAGTTTCACAGTTTACTTTGAGCAGAGCCAACTGGATGTTTTCTTAGAGTACGAAGAAGTACACAGTATGTTCTTCAACTACATTTTCAGGTTTTTAGAAAGTTAGAAGGTAGGCTGGGGAGATGGCTCAGTGGGTAGGAGTAATTGCGTATGCAAGGATGAGGACCTGAGCTCAAATCCCAACACCACATAAAACAGCGGGGCACAGCTGCACATACCCATACTCCAGCATGGAGGGGTGGAGGCAGGAAGGTCCTATAAGCTCACTGGCCAGCCAGCTTAGCTTCTGGTTCCCTGTGAAACTCTCTCTTAAAGGAGTAAGGTAGGGAGCACTAGAGGAAAGTACTTAACAGCTTCCACTGGCCTTCATGTGCATGTGTGCACCTCCCAACCACCCCCCTCATGCACATACAAAGTTACAAAGCAATTTTCAGCTAACCATGTCCTTAACTTTGGCTATAGTTTTAGTATTGATAATACATCTAATTATCTTTTATATACCATATTTCTCTTGATTGCTAAGATTCCATCAATTTTAGATGAACTTTGATCTTACAACTTTTAGGGGAAAATGATACTTATATTAGTTGAAACTAAATTGAGGAAATATACTATATAAAATATTGGTTCCTTAGGCTTGGTTTTTATTTTTTTTTTACAAGTTTTAAGTGAAATAATAGACTGCAGAATTACATATGCACAGCAGAGAGAGTAGTATATGTTACTTTTAGCCACTAAATCTTCCACTGGGATGTTCTGGCCAAATAAAACATGAATATTTTTGTTAGCAGAGAACTAATTTTTAAATGCCTCTAAAACTGCATTGTGTGTACCTTTTTCTTTTGAAACATGGTTTCATTTCACTGTACCCCAGGGCTAGAATTAAATTCATTACAGGCCAGGTTGTCTTCACTTTCGTGGCAATTCTTCTGCCTCAACTTCCATGCCCACTATGTAATGTTCTGTTTGTAAAGTACCTTAGGAACACAGGACATGTGACGTGTGCATACTCAGCTAAGTGACATTAAAGTCACCTCTTTGCATATGCGCACGGTGTGATGTGACATTAGAGAATGGGTTCTAAGAAATACTGTTTATTATTTTAAAATCCTGAATTCTTACCTCCTCCATCTTCTTGTTGTACGTGTCCTTGGCGGTTGCAACAGCTGCTAAATTGTTAGCTTCTGCTGTGGCCTTGGGACAAAGTGCACACTTTAATGTAAAGTGGAGTCATCTGTATCAGAGCATCACATGCAAAAAATGCTCCAGGGCCATCCATCAAGGAACCCGGAGTGTTTCTACCACATGTTCAAATCATTATTACCAACCTCTTAAGATGTACACAGCCTGCATTTGTACTCAGTAAGCCATAATGCTACAGTGAATGTCCATTTGGACATATGACAGCGGTGGGAGCATTGCATCAGCCAGGACAGGGAGAGTGGGTTCCTAAACAGACTGGGTACAAAGTGGATCTCCACCCAAGCAAAGCTGTTGTGTGGTGTGGAACATTCAGATGGACACATGGGTAGGGTAGGCAAGTGATCTTCAATCTTCAGGTGATGCTCTGAAACCTCATTACCCCTGATGAATACGCACCTGTAGCATGGACTTGGGATGCGGTAACTCTTCACCTTGATAGATCTTTATGTATGCCTGAAGCAAAACAAAGGAAAAGAGCATTTCATCCAACATTTCTCTTCTTATGTTAACTTGAATTTTAGGGTCTTGACAATTAAAAAATATGTATTTTCAGGGACTATTCTTTTTTTTTTTTTTTAAAGATTTATTTTATTTATTATGTGTACAGCATTCCTTCCATGTGTGCCTGCAGGCCAGAAGGGGGCGCCGGGTCTCATTATAGATGGCTGCGAGCCACCATGTGGTTGCTGGGAATTGAACTCAGGACCTCTGGAAGAGCAGTCAGTGCTCTTAACCACTGAGCCATTTCTCCAGCCCCCTCAGGGACTATTCTTTCTTTTTTTACTTTTTATTTTTTTTTTAGCTATTCCCTCTTTCTTTGATGCTCTTTCCATACACAGCCATATGCCAATGCTGCCCTTCAGAAAGGTTCAATTCATCTCCCTTAAAAGCTTTCTCGGATCCCTCTGCTGGAGTAGCCTCCCTTTTCTGTGAGTCTGTGTCCTGCTTTTATCATAGGCTGCATGGACCTGATCTGCAAAGGGATCATGAATCCAAACAGTGTGCTTATCTACAGGGTTAGACTAGAAATTCAGATACACCACTGTGAAATGAAGGAAAAAAGATCACACAAAAAGGCATTTTAGATGTTAAAATATCATTTTTAAAAGCTGAAATTTAATCTTGAAGCACTTGACAAATCAGGTTAATTTCGTCATTAAATATTTATGTTGTCAAAGTGCATTAGGTGTTATTAAAGTTAAGAGGTAAATACAGATTCAAAGTAATTCTACTAAAATTGCCTTTGGTGCAGAGAGCAGTTTGGAAGAATTCTTTCTCAGGAAGAGAATATAGTTGCTTTTGGATAATCTTAAAGGTGAAATTCAGTATGGGGGGGGGGGCTCTGGAAAGCACTCCGATAAAGGTTGGTTCAACTCTGATACGTTTTTATTTCAAAGTTTAGTTCCCTCAAGTTAAAAACAAATGGTAAATTTACTACCAAGAAGATTTTATTTCCTCAGACAGCTGCTTCTCTAGGTGCGTCATGGTTTTCCAAAGCCTTTTTATGGGCGCCTTGTCCATTCGCCCACAGAGTTTCTATGTGGAGGATGCATACCCCAGGGCATGCCAGTGGAAGGGACTCACAAGAGGCACAGAAACGAGAGGGATACCTTGAAGTACTCCAGCAGACCTCGGCAGGTGATTTTATTCCCATTGATCTCTTTAATATCCAGGCTCTCGGGACTAAGGAGCCACGGAATCAGGATTTTCAAGTTTTTGATGAATTCGTCATCTATTTCTACAATTGAAAGCAAATTCACCATTATTTTAAAAACCCAGTCCAATCCTCCGTGTCACAGAATGAAACCTCCATTTCCCTGGCCCCAGTGGAAAATGGCGCCGCTGGCTTTCCGGTAACTTAGCAACTCTGAAGACCTGTTACGGGGCGTGGTTCTTCTTGATGCACGTCCACTCTTGGCGCCCTTATCGCCACTGGTGTCGTATACCTATGAAGAATCCTTAACATTAAATGTTCAACATTTTATAGCCCCCCCTTTTTTTTATTTTTTTGATTTTTTGAAATAGGATTTCTCTGTGTAGCCCAGGCTGGCCCGGAAATCACTTCGGCAGATCATGCTGGCTTAAAACTCAGAGATTCACCTGCCTCTGCCTCCCAAGTGCTCGGATTAAAGGCGTGCACTTTAATTAAACACCTCCTAGTGTTACAGCCAATTTAAGTATTTCATGTAGTCTGAGACTTTTGGGTCTTATGGTTATGTATAGAGGCTCAAAAATGGGGAAGTTGGGGGCGGTGGTGTGCACCTATATTTCCAAATACTTGTGTAGCTGACTCAGGATCATTTGAGCCCAGTCATTCAGGTCCACCTTGGTTAATAAAAAGACCATGACCTAGGGCCTCACTATGTAGGTCTCTGATTTTCAGGGATGCTCTCATCTCTGCCTCCTGCACACTCATGTTATAGACGTGTGTGACTACATCAATATAAGTTTCTAAGTAATGATTACTACAATATTATTAATACTAGAATATATCAGTTTTTTAAATGTGTATATAATAAGGTGTTCTTACAAAATCGTTTTAATACACACACACTTCTACCCAAACTTTTTCTTATGAAATTGGAATGGAATGAAAATAGACGTAGGTCCACTACACCAGAAAGGTAACTATTACTAAAGCAATCAACACATTTGGGCATAATGTGCTCTGAAGATAGTGCGAGACATCTCTACCTTCCTTGGGACCACTGCAAACCATTCCAACTATGGGTCCAGAAAATAACAACAGAGTAATGATAGACAATATTATTTGACCACAGTAAATTCAGTCTGGAACATGGTTAGATACGTTCAGATCAGCCTCCAGAGGGTCCTATGAGTGTCCAGTGGATGTGTGTACGTGGATCAACACTCAAGGTGATGTTGTATTTTCATCATCTATTCAATAAGTTCTGCTTCAAGACAGCAAAAACTACTTGGGAAGCCAGGGCCTGGGCCAACATGGTAGTTACCTAAGTTACCAAATACACACTCCATACAATGTACGCTTTATAAGGAACTAGGAGTAGGACCACTAGTATATGATTTGGAGTATAAACTAACAAAGGATGGTAACTTCTCAAGACTTCCTGCCAAGTCATTAGAAATACCTTTTCCTTTTAAAAAAAAAAAAAGTCTTGATTGGCATTAGACTCTAATAACTGCCGCTAAGGAAGCTGCCCCACAGTGTATGTTGTGGTTACCTGACTGTTCGATACAACTCCTTGCTGGTTAGGAGACTATCTTCTGTGCTAGCAGAGGTATTCAATTCAGTAAAAGCTAGTTGAACGTACTGTGAATGAACACGACTCAACACTTTTGACCTCTGGGATCCAGTGTAGGATGTTCCTTCATTAGTAGCAATTAAATTAATCATATAATTTTAAAGAACACTGGAAATACTGTTATTCATGGGGTTAGTAAAGATGGCAATAATTGCAATTCTTTGTAGGACAATTATTAGTGTTGATTATGAACTAGAAAATTATTTCTGCCTGTGAAATAGTACATGAGAACCTCCTACAAAAGCCCACAGACATATCTTTGCTAGAGACAACCACTCTCGTGCCAGCTCTCTGAAGAGTACCATGGCTAGCCCATAAGGGATCCAGCCAGGGAAAAGTCATCGAATTATGAGATTCAGTGTTTGCATGTTTGTTGCTGTTCTATTCATAATAGCCAGAAACTGGAAACTCGGCCATTTAAAAAAAGGAAATCATGAAATCTGCAGATAAATGGATGGAATTAGAAAAACTCATCCTGAGTAGTGTAGCACAGACCCAGAAAGAGAAATGTGGTATAGATTTGCTTATGTATTGATATTAGCTGTTAGGTCAATGATAACCTAGCTACCATCCATAGAACCACAGAGGTTGGGTACAGAGTAAGGTATTGGGGAAACAACAGATCTCCCTAAGAAAGGGAAAGAATAGATGGTTACAGATTGATGGGAGGGAGAGTGGACTGGAGGGCCCAGTGGGGAGGGGGGAAGGGGAGGAAGACAGGGAGGGGGGTATGGGAAGAGACAGCTAGAATTAAGGGCCATCTGGAGGGTAGTACGGGAACCTAATACAGGAGAAGAACCAAATACCACAGTTCAAAAAATAAATTAAAAAAAAGACAGCCTTAAAATGACTCCTAATGACACTTGCTCAGTCATCAGAGAAGCTTCCTCCGCCAGCGGATGAGAACAGCAGCAGCAGAGCCAGAGTAGGAAACTTTGGCACACTCAGCCCTAAACAGGATGTCTCCATCAAATCCCTCCCCTCAGAGCTCAGGAACACTCGAAGAAGAGGCAGAAAGAGTGTAAGGTGATGGAGGACATCGATATGACCGATGCACACAAGAACTCAGAGACTGAGGCAGCATGCACAGGGCCTGCAGGGTCTGCAGCAGATGGGATCCCAGAGATGAGAGAAGTGGACAGCCCCTATTCCTAAGCCAGAAGCTCTCTTCAAATGAAAATTTGGTTTCCTCCAAGGGAGTCTCCTCCTAAGGAGGCTGCCGACAGAATGACCTCAGTGGCAGCCTTGACGGTTCCCTGTCTCATAATGTCATGTCGGTGCTCGTCTCTTAACTCTACAGTTCCTTTGTGTCTACATTACGAGATTCCCAAGTGGGTAAACGCGCGAGTCTCTCTCCTGTGCCTTCTCCTCAGCTCTTTTCCTTCTATTGTCTTGTCCGGTTCTGATGTGTTAGTTCTTGCATTATCTTTTTTGTTATCACCCCATAGAAGCCTGTTTATTTTATAATGAAAGACAGAAAGGGAGTGGATCCTGATGGGAGGGGAAGAGGAGAAGGGTTGGGAGGAACAGAGGGAGGGGAAACCAAAAATCAGGATATATTATGGGAGAAAAAAAAATCTATTTTCAATAAAAGAAAAAAATCAATGTTGGATGGAAAAATGCTGTAGATAACAGATTTTCAAAATTGCCAAAGCAGACACTGAGAAAAAGTAGAACATTTCTGTACTCAAGGTAAATTTAGCAGAAGTCCTATAAGCTATACAAACCTCATTAAAATGGAACTTTGAGGGCAACTGAAACCAGTTTCATTTCTCTTTCTCCTGGGCTAGCTACTCTGCAGACCTGGAGCTGGCAGATGGTTGTAGTTAACTGCATAGGCCAATGTCTATGTGGACATATAGATACAACTGGATGGGGAACAAATTATCACAAAATAGCCATGTATATCGGTGTAATTTTCCTAACCCTTCCTAAGCTGGGGCACTGCATGGGCTGCAGCTGCTCACTACTGTAAGGGACCAGGCCAGTGGCTTCTTCTTCATAGGGAACTCTTGTTCAGCATCCCACCCCACCCCTGTTTATGGCTCCCAGTTCCAGAGAAGACAGACAGGCTTTATGGAAGCCTGCTCTTTGTGTAACTTGTTCAAGACACACTGACGTCCTTAGTCATTTCATAATAGAGAGGGCCATGTGTCCTCTAGTGGGTTAGGGTTCAGAAGCAACAGGGAGATCACCTGGCACCCACGTTTGTGTCGTGTGCCCACTGCCATCTGCTGCTGTAAAAGCAGAGAAAACAGGATTCTTGGTATAGAAAACCAAGGCCGGTGGCTGAGAAATTTAGAATTCTGCTTATTATATCAACTGCTAATGTTACAGATAAAGGTGTCAGATAATTCCATGGACACAAGGGAAAAAAATACTTTTGCTGATCAATTCTGCTGTAGTTTCTAAAATGTTGTCATTTTTAAAATGCAATTTAAAATCCCTTTGACAACAATTGTCTGAAAACAATTAGCAATGTCACTGTCTCACCCCGGCATAATGTTAAGATAGAAAAGCCATAATAAGTTAGACAAGGAAGTGTGCATTCCATGGTATGTTCAGTGGTAGGCTCACAAGTAAGAAGTCACAACTGCCCTGAACTACCTCAGATTAACCACACAGCAAATGCTACAGATAGCGCTTGTCTTTTCAAACAGGAGTCAGCCTCACAGTGCAGCTTACATGCTGAAGAGCAGTGCTTATTATTCTGTTTAGAGAAACTTGTTCTTCTCTGGAGAGAATTTTATTCTTTAGTGAAATTTTTATCATTTGTTAAATTCTTCCATAGTTAAAGAGCCTGGATTCAGTATTGAATGTAGTGTTTGCTTTCAGTCTCTAAATATGTATTTCAACAAAAACAGACATTTTTCTATTTGAGTCACTATAGATAAAGGAAACTGAGCACACGGAAGCAGTTTCCAGAGCGCAGAGTGAGAGGGTGAGGGCTGCGGCCTGTTGCTGGTAGCCGCAGGCTCTCACAGCTGTCTCAGGGACCTCCAGCACCAGGCCGCTCCCCAGTCCTCTCGCCAGGACCCCCTATCATCCGCCTCACATTAGCGCAGGAGCTGAGCCAGAGCCACAAGTGCGTGGAGCCGACTCCAGAGCGATAAGGGACGCAAACTCATTAAAAGTCACACAAACCTTTTAGTTTTCCATCAAAGTTTGGGTTCGTAGCTACCTTTAGGCCAGGATGAGGTAGGAGGAAACAGGAGATGTTGGTGAAGCAGGAATGGATGTGCTTCCTGACATTCTGTAGTTCTTCATGCTGGTTCCCCGAGACCTGCGGGAAGTCATTCTGAAGCTCAACTGCTGGAGACATAAACTGCCTGTCTGCTTCCATGCTGAGAAAACGGTACAATGTCCACATAGCCATACCTAAGTGTAGCAAGTGTGTGCAATCGGCACACTTTACATACCTAAGTGTAGCAAGTGTGTGCAATCGGCACACTTTACATATCTAAGTGTAGCAAGTGTGTGCAATCGGCACACTTTACATATCTAAGTGTAGCAAGTGTGTGCAATCGGCACACTTTACAAGCCTCTGTCTTCCTACAAAACAATGTGGTCAGTTCTGTCACAGCAATGTCTAATCTCTGGGACAAATTTCTCTCACAGTTGGCTTTCTGTTGCTGTGCTAAACACCATGACCAAAAGCAGCTGGGGAAGAAAAGGTTTGTTTCCACTTCACTTTCTATTCTGTCACCAAGAGAAGTCGGGCCAGCATCCCAGGGCAGGAATCCAGAGGCGGGGTCTGAGGCAGAGGCCATGGAGGAGGGCTGCTGGCTCACTTGCTCACTTGCCCCTAGTGACTCAGTCACTTTACTTCCTAAACAACCCAGAGCCACCTGCCTGCCGTGTGAGGGGCACCACCCACAGAAGGCTGGCCCCTCCCACACACTTGGCTACAGGCCAGTCCCATGAAGGAATTTTCTCAGTGGAAATTCTCTCTTCCCACATGACCCTAGCTTGTACGAAGTTGATAGTAACAAACAAACAACCAGCTCCATGCTTGAACCCTAAAATGGCATTTGAATAGCTAGGCATTCCAGACAAACCTAAATAACCCGTCCCTTTTAGACATGTGTTTAACAGTTTGTAGGAAGGACACATGAGATAATTATTTAACCTGCCAGTAAAACGTGAATCTAGACATTTACACTGCTTTGCATCTTCAAAGTAAAAGTTTTTCCTGGAGGAACAAGTACCAAAGAAGTATCTACAAAATCATCTACCAAAGAAGCATCTGTATCAGATTCATAGACAATAACTTTAAAGTACAATTCTACCTGTAGTTTATTACAAATCCATCTTGAGTATTTATTAGAGAAACTGCAAGGGGCAAGTGAAATTGTGGCTCCTGAGTGAAGTGATTCAACAGAAATACTCGAGCTTATTCTGGAGAAAGGGCAAGCACCTAACTAGTTAACCAACCTTGAGTCGTTTTTCCAAGAACTTGGCGCCACCATCGGCTCCATATGAAAATTCGTATGGGAAACTCCAGTCTCGAACGAGAAATATCAGACTCTGGAAAGTAGTAAGAAGGTGGATAAGAGCACTTGGAGGTTAAGTCCTCTGCTTTTTACTGGAGCCAGTCGCATTACTGCATCTTAACCGTGTTCCTTTTGTAGAACTAAAAGCAAATATCAAGTCTTAGAAAGTTCTCCGCAGTCTGCAATGAGCTCATCATGCTTCCACAATGTGGGAACAGCAAGCTGCCTGCTCACTGCAGGATGAATGCATCCCGCTGAGATGAGGGGCAGGCGCAGTCATGACCACCATTAAGCTGTCTGAATGGACCCATAATTAGATTTCATGTGGGGTGTTCCTATGACTCTGACTCTCTCTCTCTCCCATTTCATTCTTTCTTCCTTTTTATGGTTATGGCAGAATATATGCATTAGATACCAGGCCAGCTTTAAAGAGACGAAAACACTGGAGTCCAGGCTACGTAGACCAGGCTGGTGTTGAACTCACTGTGAAGATTAAGCTATCAATGAGATCACAGCAATCCTCCTGGCAAGCATCTCTACCAGCTTTAAATTTTGTTTTCTTTTTAAAATTTTAATGATTTATTTATGTTTCATGTGCAATGGTGTTTTGCCTGCATAAATATCTGTATAAGGGTGTCAGATTCCCTAGAACTGAAGCTACAGACAGTTGTTAGCTGCCACTGAACTGAACTCAGAGCCTCTGGAAGAGGAGCTAGTGCTTTTAATCATTGAGCCATCTTTCCAATCCCTATTGTTTTGTTTTTTAAGGTTTCCTTTTTAAACTTCTTGTGTCTATGTGCATGTGTGTAGAGGTCAGAGGACAACTGGTGACAGCTGTTTTTTTCTTCCTACCATGTGGGTTCCAGGGATAATACTCAGTTGATAGCCTTAGTAGCACACACCCCTACTCTTGAGTCATCTCTTGAGCCCAACACCAGCTTTTTCCTAAACTTAATTATTTTAATTTTTTATAGAAATGATAGTATGCATTTTTATCATAAATTTTCAAAATCCAGAGAATAATAATTAAGATGCATTCCAAATTTCAAAAGCAACTACAGCTAACACTTAGTGAAGTTTATACACAAGGAGTAGGACAAGGGAGAAAGAAAGGCAATTTTATATAAAAAATCATGAGAACAATGCCACAGCCAAAGTGAAATTAAATGTCTAGGAAACTTAGGATGGCATTTAAGATAGTGATGAGTTTCAAGGAAATAATTTTTCACCACCAGTTCACAAACTGTTCACTTTAAAATCTTCTGTGTTGAAATATATTCTGCATACAGAAAAACACATGTAATCGCAAGGCTTAACATATTGTCAGAAACTGAGCACACCATGTAACCAGCCCCTACATGGTAAAATATTGTCTATCATCCCTGAAGCCCCCACTCCAGCTTTCTTCCCTTCCACCTCTGCCTGAAGGGCAGCACTATTGTGACTTGGAAATAACAGGTTAGTTTGCGTGTTTTCATTCAGCGCTGCATCTGAAATTCATCATTCTGCAGCATGACTGTTACCATTCAGAGTCAGCATTGCGCAACATTCCATTATGTTAGGAACATGCTTGACCCTTAGAGTCAGCATTGCGCAACATTCCATTATGTTAGGAACATGCTTGACCCTAGTTTCCTGCCATGAGGAAATTCGACTTCTCAGGCTTCCTCTTATCTTTCCTTCCAGCTCCTATTTATTTTTCAAGTAATAACTTTGAAATAACAACACAAGGAGCTTGAGTATAAATGGTTAAAATACAACAGACACTGGCAGCTCTGTCAAACGCACGTAGAAATCATAAAGTAATTCTGTGAGTTCAATTGCCTGTGCCTGTACTTCCGTTCCCCCGTGGTAATACTTTAAATACCAGAACTTGATGAAGTTCTTATACTGTAAATAATGAGATCCAATTCCAACACAATCAAGTTAAAAAGCATAGACCGTCTTACTGATTCCATAACTGGTAGATCAGAGCCTTTTCTCATCTAATTGCTCCTTTCATGTGATGGTCAAGATGACCACTGAGATTCTGAAGATCACATAAGATTAACACAGCTGTGCAGTTCAGTTTTTAATGACAGTTCCACAAGCAAAGTTCCAGGGTGATGTGGAGTGTCCTTCTCTATATATGCTGCTTTTATTGGTTAATGAATAAATCTGCTTTGACCTATGGCAGGGCAGAATATAGCTAGGTGGTAAATTTGAACAGAGATATATAGAGAGGGTAGATGGAGTCAGAGAGATGCCATGTAGCTGTCGAAGGAGACAGATGCTGGATCCTTACCAGTAAGCCACAGCCTCGTGCCGGTACATAGAATAGAAATGGGTTAGTTTAAGATGTAAAAGCTAGCTAAAAATATGCCTGAGTTATTGACTGAACAGTGTTGTAATTAATACAGTTTCTGTGTGGTTATTAGGGTCTGGGTGGCCGGGAAATGAACTACTCTGCCTACACCAGGGAGGGACTCATCTATTTGTGATCGAATGCCCAGTCCTGAAGCTACCACTGTGGTCAGAGGGATGGGGGGGTCTGAATGGACTTCTCTCTGTAAGGGGTGGTGGCACCCCCTGCACCTGAACCAATGAGAGCAGATTCCCCATTGAAAGGGGTTCGACTAATAGTAGAAGTGGAGACAGGAGACCAGACAGAAAAGCACAGATTTCTATTGCTGTACTAAAGTGCTTTACCTTATCATAGACTGCAAGCCTCTGGAAGAGAGACTGAATTGCTTGCTTGCTCATTATTAGAATAAACACAGTGCAGGCTCCATACCCAGGTTTTCATCAGTCAAACTGCCATATTGTGGTGCTGGGGTTGTCCCCAAGCCCCACACTCAGCAGTCACCAGCAATCTTTACAGGAGAGCTAGGGTTGCTTCACTTTCTGACTGCTCTCATTCTTGAGAAGGTCTTCTGCTTATTTTATAGCTGTTGGACAAATTAGTTAGAAATAAAATTCTTACAGTGACCCTGTTTATTGAATGGTACTATGGTAAATTCTATGGGAATTATTTATCTTTGAACACACTAAGTACATCAGTATTTTCTAATGTTGACTGGAACGCACCATTATTTCCTACAGAGCTACTCTAAAGAATGCGTCTACCATCTTTTAAAATATCTTCTCTCTACTACATTTATTCCATTAGCTTCTTAGAGACTCTCATTTTGCCATGTGGTACACAAGGGTGTAGAGCCCGAGGTTTGTATAATTTGTGGGGCAGGGGAGACTCTCTGTAAGAAAAATAATATAAAAGTCTTGGGGAAAGTCCGATAAATATCACAAATATACAAAAAACCCAGACAAATAATAAAGCTTTATATTTCGTTCTTGAAAGGTGTTACAAGTTCTGCCTCCGTCCATCATCATCCCTACACACACACACACACACACTGAGGCAAGACCTTATTATGTGTCCCTGATTGGCCTGGCTCTAGATATGTAAACCAAGCGGTCCTCAAACTTGGATTCAGATAATCACTACGATGTCAGCTCCACGTTCACTGATTCACCCAGACGCAGAGTCAAGCACTTCTCCAGTTTCTTACAGGGTTCAGTTGAACACTGTAACGTCAACATTACCAATGCTGGATGAAGCTGACCTGCTCATTATTCCTAGGTCTTTTCAGTGGGCAAAGCTAGTACTTGTGTGAGTGCAAGTCTACATGTGTGTATGTGATAGAATATTGCCTTAATTCATGCTGGTGTGTACATTTTAAACACTTAGATGGATTAAACTGAGTTAGACAAATGATAGGCCTATGCGATTTTATCCTACAAATGGCCTTTTTATTTGAATAATAAATTATTATGCATATCCAGTATAAAATATGTGAAATTAATACTCTGAAATAATAATCTCTGAAGGAAAAACTGATTTAGAATCAGTGGCTAATAAATATCTGAACTAGTCTTCAGTGTGTCTAATCAATCAGTTTCAGTTTTAGCTTCAGTTTCAGGCAGGGAAAAGTTCTAGAAGTTACTTTGAGACTATAAACAACAGCTTGCTTCAGTCAACAGCCAGGAAAAGCCAACCTACTAGCAAGACTCATACTTTTGAGAAAAGCAAACTGATGACCTTGTTTTGTGGGTTACAGAGGCAAGAGTGGGCAGTGCTGGTCTCACAGTGTGTCCTCTGCTGAAGCATGCTGTGTGTTCAAGGGTGTGGGCAGGCTGATTCCAGCCACTGTTCCCTGCACACATCCCCCTCTGCCTGACTGACATGAGGGAAGTAGATACTCTGGCGAAAACATACAAACCACAGAGCTTCTGCTCTAAGACCTGAGTTAACTAATGAGCTGGGATATGACTATTAAAATAGCAGGTCATAAGTTATAGTTAACAAGCGCTGGGGGATCGGAGCAGGAGGAGAAGGCGGCACAGCTAGGTCCACGCTTTGAGCCTGTGGCCTGGGGAGAGCCCAGCTCTGCACTGTTATCCGTGTATGCAGGATTAGGTTTCTAAACTACTGTTCGGCCATTTCGTCCCTGGACAAAAGAGAGAAAGACACCGAGAAGTAATAACACCAGCACAGACAGCACTGATCTGAACAATGAATGAGACACGCTTTTGCACAGCGCCGGGACTAAAACAAGCACTGGCTCAGATGCTGCTTCCTCCAGCAGTTGTATTCCACAACCTAAATGTGGAAACCAAGAGAACTTTGGCCTGAACCTCGACCCAATTCTGGGTTGCCAGATAAGTAATTCTAATTTATGAAGCTTTTGGATAACCTAAGTTGCGGCCTGAACAGAATCTAAGTAGGGTAGGTAGCTTTCCCAGGTAGCTGTCCTCCTTAGCCCCACATATTAATCTCCATCTCTAGCAGGCAGACAGTAACCTCTCTTTCTCTCAGCGAGGTCAGGTATTTCTCTGACATTATTCGGCAGTTCCAACTATCACAGATTTTTGCCCAAGAATCTTTCAATGTGGCTTGAATCACTACCAAGGAATTTTGCCAGTAAACATCTTAAATCGGGAATAGAGTGATCGTGAACGTAATTAAGTCAACCAGAGTCAAATAAATTCTGATTGTCTGCATAGAGGCCTGATATGAATGAGAAATTATGACAATTCCTAATTGCTTGTGCCACGTATTTCCTTACTACTACTACTTCTACCACACACACACACACACGCAACACTCAGTTTCATTGAGGAGCCTGCTTACACCACTAGCCATTACACCTCCACTCAGACTTGTGAACTCTCTACTTTTATCTACCAGAAAGGATTAAGTTCTGTCCTGATGTCAAAGGTGCTGGTGGGATTTGAGTACATGAAGGAAGATGGTTAATAAAGATGTTGTGCACAGGCCAGGAGGCAGCTCAGGGGAGAGCGCTTGCCTCATGTGTGCAAGGTCATGGGTTTGATCTATAAACTGCAAAAAGGGAACAGAGAACTAGGAAAAAGGGTAGGAAAAAGTAACTGAGAAAGTAAAGTACTAGTGCTGAGGAGGTGAGAGGTAAGACACCTGAGGAGAAGAGAGGTAAGAGACCAGACGTCAAAGGTCCTCAACTACACCATCAGCCCAGTACTGCATGTAGGAAGCACATCTTAGAATAAACATTAGAGAAACCAGGACTGTCAATCACATGGGCCTATCTTCTTCAAGAGGAGGAAATGCAGGATACCTAATCACATGGAATGCCGGACTGAAAAGTGGCTGGTCAGTCAGACAATGTGGTGATCCTTTGCTATTCTATCAGGACCAGCCGCCATGTGAATCCCCCCAGTATCCTGAGATTCGTCTCTCAGTGAACAGAAAGCATCTCTATGACAGAGGCCCCATGGGCTTTGCAGCCTCACAACAGAATCTGTCCTTATGCTTATCACAGATCCTTCCTCTAGGCCCTGTCTATCAGCCAATAGAATTCACTCTTGTTGTAAAGGTCACAGGTCACAAGTTCTCCTGTTCAAATGTGTAAGAAAAGTAAACTATGAGGTCAGTCTCTGGAAGGCCATGGCCCAGTGTCTGCAAAGATGGGACTGTCCTGAGTTTCGTCCTTCATCTCTTGTGGGGATCATTTCCCCCACTCTCCCCACACAGATCATGAGGTGTGCCGGGCTGAGGGTGTCCTGGACACGTGGGATGTTAGGTATGTGCCGCTATGCCTGACTTTTTACATTGCTGCATTGAAACTCAAGTATTGAGCTAACATGGCCAGCACTTAACTGAGTTAACTCACCAGCCCCCAAGCTTTCTTTCATTGGCATTCACAATATCAGCATGGTTCACTGCTAAGCAGCAATCTCAAAAGTTTTCCCTACTATTTGTTTTTAGGTCATTGACATAATTCCTGTCTGTCTGTCATCTATCTATGTATCTATATCATCTATCTATCTTTCTATCTGTTGGTTAGTCTTCATGTTGGTTTATGTGTTAGGAGCAGTGACATCTGCTGGCAAAACTTAAGGTCCCTTTCTAGAATTTACAGTCTAGATTCAATGGTCTTGAGCGCAGAAAAGTCAAAGCAATATTGCAATTGCCACTCAACTCTCCACCTACCACCTAGCAGATGAATTAAAAAGAAACAAGCACATAGAAAGTATTGTGAACCAGGCTGGAGACTATAAAGCAGGACTGGTTTTGTTCTCCCTCACCACCTCCTCTGCTGCTTCCCTGGCTTTCAGGGTCCAGATCTAGACTCCTTCTAAAGAGCCCTCAATGTAAGTCTTCATGGGATATCTTCTGGGCATCTTGAATGCAACTTGACAGACCTCTGAGCCAAATCTACAAACTGAGGCCATCCCGGATCCACCCTCACTAGTGTAAGTGGCTTCAGATCACCTGTCACTAGGCAAGAGAAAACAGACAGCTCAGTCTGCTGTCTATCAAAGAGCTTCTCACTTATGCGGCCCTCTGTCGACTGTTGTTTCTCCTGTGGGCCCAGACTCCCTCAGCCTATGATCCTCCTTGGTGTCATGCATAGCTAGAGCTAAGGATTCCTCCGACCAGCTCTTGATGAAGGACTTAACTTTTAGATAGTGTGAAAACTGTTTCCTCTTCCAGGCACTGTCAGAAGGGGGCCTGACTCAGTCCTAACTCTTGTCCTGGGAAAGAAGGGCAGGATTTGAAGTACTGTAGACACGACTGACAATATTCAATCCAAGCTCAAATGCTACCTTGATGGATCTGCCGACCCCAGCATTATTGGAGTTTTCAGGGCAAGTCTGGCCATCCATCCATCCTCTCAATATGCCAGAAAAAGAGATAAAGCATAGAGAAAGGAGATGTCCTTAATGTGGCTACACTGGGAAGAGGAACAAATAAAAGGGTCCAGTGGCCTCACCCCAAGTCTATTTGTGGGAGTACTGAGGTTTAGTTTTAAATACAGCAAAAGCTATGCACAATTAAACAATCCTGGCAAAGTACAATGCTGCCTGTTTCTGGCCCACCACTACCTTGACTATCAGACATGCAAGGTGGTCCAATAAGTTTCCAGAACTATGGGAAATTTCTTCTTGGAAGACCAGTTCCTCGGGCTTCAGTCTTTTCCTTCCTCCAGCATGGGATTCCTGAGAGGTTTTCCGTTCCTTGGGACCTGGTGTTTCAGTACTCTGTCAGCTGATAGGATGAACACGTGGGATTCTACCCCACCCCGGACACAGTAGGCACACCAGCATCAGCTGGGCTGGCGGCTGTCACACTCAGGCAACAGGAGATGTTAGCGGGTAAGACAGGGCACTCATGCCTCTCCCCCAGCATCCTCTCTGGTGTCAGCCAACTGTTGACCTTTGCAACCAATTTTTATTAGCCCAGGTCGGTTGGTTTTGGGTTCATGCTTGGCAAATGCATCAAGTGTCTTCTGTGACATTTCGAGGGCTGAACTCGGAGAAAAGCTGACATTCTCACAGGAGCCGGAGAATCTAAGACAGCGCTATCTCCTACTTCTTTTCTTCATACCAACCAGCTTAGAACAGGAATGTAGACGCCTTCTCCTCTTCCCGTGAGACAGGGTCTCTTAACTCACTGTGTAACCCTGGGCGGCCTAGAATGCCCAGTGTGCATCAGGCTGGCCTTGAACTCACCAAGATCCCCCTGGCTTAAAGTCTCTCTAGTGCTGGAATTAAAGACATGTACCACCACACCTAGCCCAAAAATGCTCTTGAAAGAAATAAATAATGAAACATGACCCTGATGAAAATCACAGTTATAGATTCCATAAAAATCCGGTAAGAATTTTCCGTCATTTGACTTTCACCTACCTGAAAAGGCTTCAGGAATGTTTCTTCCATTGCTAGCCTGCCATACTCAGTGAAAAGCTGGGATGGGGAGGGAGAGAGAGATGGAGATTTGTTTACTTATTGGGATTTTTTACCCATTCCCCCAGCTGTAACAGAATGCTACGCTATCATGATTGCATAGTCATCTTCAGGAAACAAGTATTAATTATATAAAGCAGGGATATAGTAATTACATATCTAAAAATGAAAAATATGTTGCATTTTAAGAAGAAACTTCTACTTTAAACCTGTCCCTCCTTTTTCCGTGTGTCTATGTTTCGTGTGCACCAGCACCTGAGCACCGAGTGCTAAGCACTTGCTCTGAAGGCAACCCCAGCCTTAAGCTCATGTCTGTGGTATTTCAAAAAAAAAAAAAAAAACCTGTAGAATGGAGGCACATGTGAAATGGTTGGCTCAGAGGGCCATAGTACAGCTAGGGTGCATTTATAAAAGCTGTATCCTGGAGAAATGTAAAGGTACAAAGATCTGAGTTACAAAATTAGGCATTTGGTTTTAAAAGCAGGGAGTTAAATGTATTGTCTTCCCTTGTTTTTCACTGCTTACAACTAGGAACATGAAGTACAAGGAGAATTATTGTTTCAGTGAACCCCGACCTGTGGAGATGACTGACAAGGCTCCTGATAGCATTCGGGCAGGTTAGATGTTTCCCCATGTGACACAGGACATGCTCAGTTCACACACTGGGCTGACAAGACTTCTTGGAGTTGGGGAAGAATGGTAGCCTAGCACCCCCGCTCCCCAGTCCTTTACAATATCATCCCAGCCTCACACTGCTGGCCCTGCAGGGCAGTGGAAACCAAGAAAGCAAAGGGTGATTACTAGATATTTCATTTGAGTGATGAGCTCAAAAGTCTGGGTATGTCTAAAAGGCAAGGTCTAGGACACTACACTATGAGACTCGTGTACTGACATAACTTGAATTCATAATCACTTCAGAGCAAGGTATTGTTCGCAGGGAAAAAATTAAATGATCAAAATACACTGTTAACTCAGCATCACTGCCAAAAGTTACTCCATCTGTAGACATGCATAAATAAGCCAGCATGCAATGGCACCATGTGGCTCACTAAGAAAGTAACTAACTGGATTATGACACTTGCCAAAGAAGAAGATGCTTTTATTAATAAAATATACCCAGCGATTATTTGATATTTGATACCCATTTGTCATAAATGATCAATGTCAGATACCTGAATGTGTCAGGTAACAACATTGGAAGTGAACTTCGAGTGATGTTTCCAATGCTGCATGTTACATTGCTTTACTGTTTTTAATATCCAGTTTCACATTTCACTGCATGGATCTGATACACACGTTAGGTAAATTTTATGTAAACCATGTAGAAAGAGAGCTATCAGAGGGGTAGCAGCTTTGCTATCTGCTCAAGAATAACATGTGTGGAGTCGGAAGAGACTGCTACTGCATACACGAGAAAAATCCCTAGAAAACATCTCTTATGTGAGACGGCTACCTCATGGAGCGGAAGGAATGCAGGACCCAGCCAACGGTTCTCTCCCGTCCTACCACTAAGTAGCCAGAGCAGCCTGAGCAAGACACTTAGCTTTCATCCTCACTTCCCTCATCTATAAAACATGAAGGGGAGATTAGGTACCATCATTGTCTCTATCAGATCAGATTTCAAGTCTTCTCTATCAGTTCTGAACCACAAGGTCCACAAGGAAAGAAGCCTGCCATATAACAGACACCATACCAACAATTATAAAGTCCTTGATCTTAAGATTTTGACACTGCAATTTAGAGACTCTTCACACTGAAGATTCTTTGTCCACTTTGTTGTTGTTTTGTTCTTCGAGACACGGTTTCTCTGTGTAGCAGCCTTGGGTGACCTAGAATGTGCTTTGTAGACCAGACTGGCCTCGAACTCACAGAGATTCACCTGCCTCTGACTCCCAAATGCTGGGGTTAGAAACATGTGCCTCCACCACCTGGCTCTTTGTTCACTTTGATTTGCCATATACTTTCATGCATTTTAGCACCGGGAGCAAGCAGGTTTAGAAACCACAGAATATGAAAACTGAATTAGAAAGAGCATAACCATACAAGACTAGAAAAGAGACCTGGCAACAGGATGACCTTTATGTGGTCACATGTCTAAAGTTCCCCCAAATTCTGGCCTGCATGTCCAAAAGACCATCAGATACATAAAACATGCTTTTACCTGGAGGTGCTGAAGATCGTCCTCCTGGACATTTTGGGATAAGTTGTATACCTTGATTGTGGGATAAAAAGTCAAGAAGAGCGATATCAGCATCACCCCACTGTTCTCTTTCCATAAGTGTCAGTTATTACACAATCACTTTCTTACACACATTTAAGAGACTCCAAGAAAGAAGTAAAGAGAGCCTGATAGATAATAAGCCATGCACAATGATCACAAAAATGCTAGAAAAGTATAGGAGTCACTTGCTGTGGAGTCCAAACACTACAATTACTTTATGGACCTACTTACTAAATCCCTCTTCAAAGCACACTAAGTGAGTATTGATCAAACTACAATTATTTTATGGACCTATTTAATAATCCCTCTTCAAAGCACACCGAGCAAGTATTGATCTAAGCCTGAACATCCTATGTGGAAAATGCGTGTGTGTTGGAGAGGGGTGGTTTTATAATGTAACACCTCAAACCCTTTTTATTTTGGGAGACAATTTCATCATATTGCCCAAATTTGTAGTCCTCTTGCCTCAAGAAGCAGGGGTTACAAAAGTGGGCTGTCTTGCCCAACTAGAAAATTACAATTAACTCTTCATAATTTATTGATTCCTTTATTTCTACAGAAAGTCCCTCCACACAGAAGTTAGGTTCTGAGTGTCATGTTCACAGCTCTGCCCCGTCTTGTTGCTCTTCCGCTACAGTGTGGCCTTAAGTGTGACACTCTGTGTTTTCCTTATTTTCCTTGAGGTGATAAACATTAGTAACTTTACAGATAAAATTAAGGTCACTTATATGTTTACATACTGACACAAACAGTAGCCTTCTTGTAGTTATTTAAATAACACATAAATTTCTCAGGTATTAATTTAAAATAGTCATTACTCTTTTCTATGAAATGATTCAGTGATTTCAGGTCAACTATAAACACTAAATAATGAATGTTAAAAGAAAAGTTAAATTGATTTTAACTGGTTTGTGCAAATCATCTTTCCTATTGATTTTAAATGAAATAGATATCGAGTTGATACTTTGAAGACTGACTGAAGAAGCAGACTTCTGTACTACAAGAATAACCTGTGTTTTTATGGGCCGCTTTCTTGTGCCAATCTTTAAAAAAACCTTTTTTTAATTTATTTTTTACTATATGTGTAAGAACATTTTGTTTGCATACATGTGTGTACAGCACATGTGTGTCAGGTGCCTGCAGAAGTCATAAGAGAGTCAGATTCCCTGGAACTACAATTATGGATGGCTGTGAGCCACCACGTAAGTGGTAGGAACTGAACCCAGGTCCTCTGCAAGAGCAACAAGGGCTCTTAACCTCTGAGCCATCTCTCCAGCCCTAAGAAGTAGATTTTTAAAAGCATCAATCATGGATTATAACTATAACTTTTATTTTAAATTCATTTATTTAAAAATTCAGTTCACCCTCCCTCTTCCTTTGTACCTGTCTGGGCGATGCTGACCACATAGATTGTATGTCTGTCTGTCTGCTCACTAGCTCCATTACTCCATCTGCATATGATCACAGCCTGGACTGGCTCACTATAAAATTTAATATATTTTAACATACTGTAAGCTTTAACATAAAAAGGGACAATAATAAAGCTATTTTGGAGTACAGCAGCCAACTTAGAAACTGATCAGTAATTACAGTAACAATAAGTATTCATGGGGTGTTAACTGAGCAACATGTATGATTTGCCATGCTCTTCATACAAAGAGCATGTAGTATGTATGTATGTATGTATGTATGTATGTATGTATGTATGTATGTATAGGCACTATTCATGAATTCTAGTTAAGAAACATCCACAAATAGATTTGCTTTACTCCATACCTGTATTGAGCTGATCATTGTGCTAAGGGCGAACACTGTGGCCGAGTCTCTCAAAGTGGACTGACTGTCAAAGGTTCCCTGAGTATCCATCAGTAACACTGCAACCTACAGGCGAACAGAGTACATTACTGATACTGTACACAACATCCAGGGTACCAGGGCTACTATGATATTAACACCAGAAGAACTAAAGGAATCTATTATCAATGAATACTTAACCTCTTACACCTGCTATGAATGTCACAGAAAAAATTAATAGCTGCTGGGTGCAGTCATTTGTAATTTTTTCTGATAACCTAGAATAAAAACATAGCATTGAGATAATGTAAAAATATCAGCTTGCTATCTCCTATTCTGTATCCATTATTTTAATTTAATTAATTAATTAACTTATTTTTGGTTTTTTTGAGACAGGGTTTCTCTGTAGCTTTGGAGCCTGTCCTGGAACTTGCTTTGTAGACCAGGCTTGGCCTCGAACTCACAGAGATCCGCCTACCTCTGCCTCCCAAGTGCTGGGATTAAAGGTGTGTGCCACCACCACCACTCAGCCCATTATAGTTTTTGTCTCCCGGGATCACTGACTACTTTGACAGGATCATTCAATTAGACACCATTTTGGCCCTGTAGCATTATGTTAAATGGACCGAAGTTTTAAAAAAAATTTTTTTTCAAAGTTACTATCGAAATTAAAAACTTAATTTTACTTAAAATGTATCATACCTTTTTACCATCAAGTTTATTGATAAGGAAAACTTCACTCCATATCTGAATTCCTGTGGTTTCTCGTTCAGATCCACCTCGCCATGAAAATCCAGTCAACGGTTCATTGTAATCTCCAACCCAATCAACGGATTCCTATAAATTTAATAAGGTCTATGATTAGAATTGGATGAGCATGTATGGTTTTTCCTTTATCCTTTCTGAGGCTTCTTTTTTGATGCTTCTTTTTCCATAATTCAAATTAAAAGGAAAAATATGTGAACATCTATTACATTGATACAGTCACTTTATCCATTCAAAAGTAATTACAGATGAGCAACCATCTGTTATGGTTTATGTTAGTGGCTAACATCATTACAATTTATACATATACGTGTATATAGTATATATCTATATGTCATAATGGAAACATAACATGAGAAATAGAATAACTGATTCATATGTTTATTCATTCACGTGCATGTGTGTCTGGTGTGAGTAGACACATGTGTGCAGGTGCCGGTGCAGGCCAGAAGAGGGTGCTGGATGCCCTCTTGCTAGACTTACAGGAGGTTGTAGACTGCCAGACATGGTGTTGGGAATTGAATTCTGGTCCTCTGGAAGAGCAGTAAGTACTCTTAAACCTCTAAACTATCTCTCTGGAACAACTAATTCTTGAAGAGGTAAGAAGGCTGGGAACAACCTAGAGAAGATATTCAAGGAAATAAGAAGCCAACAAAAGAACAAAGGTAAGAAAGATGGAAGAGAGCAAGGAGAAAAGGAGGGAGGGAGTGAGGAAGGGAGGAGGAATATTACAAGGCACAGACAAACGCTTTGGTATGGGGGTTGTGGGGGAGACTGGCAGGGAGAGGTGAGACTGCCAGATCCCAAAGGCCCAGAAAGGTGCCTAATATAGATGTTTATCCTGCAAGCAAAAGGGAGTCAGGAAGATGCAGAGGGAGTCACCATCACAACTGTGAGAGGAAGATTATCCTAGAGGAGGTAAAGAGCTATCAAGATGATAAATAGCAGGAAGGACCAAAAAGTAGGTATTATAAAAGTCAAAATATGCTTGTGGGCCTGAACCAGGAAATGGGCAGAGGGAAGGACAGAAAGAAACAAATACAAGAGGGATTTGAGAGCTCAAAGAAGAAAAACTAAACTGAAAATTGTGTCAGAACTAATATCAGGTGAGAAAAAAATACAAAGAATCACTTAGATTTAGCAGTTTTTCACTGATAACCTTGGGTAATAGTAGCTATACTCACTTTAATATCTATTACAGGGGATAAGTTACTAGTTTTTGGAAGACCTTACTATATAATCCTTGAGCTAAAAACCTTGTATAAACTAAACTACAGAACTTTATAAATGAAGAAATTGGGTGATGTGGGGTTTCCCTCTGTATGCTGTGATGACCATTAATAAAGAACTGCTTTGAGCCTACAGTGGAGCAGGGCAGGGCAGGGCAGAGCTAGGAGGGGAGGACTGGACTGAATGCTGGGAGAAAGGAGGGCAGAGTCAGAGAGAAGCCATGGAGGAAACTAGCTGGTAAGCCACAGCCACGTGGTGGGTTAAATTAATATGTAAGAGTTAGCCAATAAGAAGCTAGAGCTAATAGGCTGAGTCTACAAAACTAGTATAAAATATAATTTTGCTATCTTACCTTCAAAAATATCTTATTAATTCCTTGAAAATTTTATATATAATATCTTGATCATATCCATTCCCTTCCCCAATTCTTCCCAGATGCACTGCCCATTCCATACCCACCCTACTATGTGTGTATGTCTTCATGAAAACAAACACACATCCAGTTAGGGCTGCCAATATACTCTTGGTTGTACAGCCATCCACTGCAGCATGGCTGACCTACCTTAAAGAAAACTGACCCCCCTTCTCCTGAAAGATATCAATTACCAACAGTTCCTCAACTAGGGGTGAGATTTCATGACCACATTCTGCCTCTGCTGGGATTTTGTCTGGCTTAAGCATGCAGCATTTATGCAGCTGTGAGTTAGCTCACAAGGGCAAACTGCCCCTTTTGTGTCCAGAAAACGGTTTCTTTGTAGTCATCCATGGCCTCTAGATAATACGATCTTTCCACCTCCTCTTCCACAGTGATGGCTGAGTCTTGGCAGGAGAGTGTGTGTGCTATATCCTGTCTTATTCTATAGAGCAATTTTAGATCATTATAAAAAGCATAATAATGGGTTGCGCCATCTGTGCTATGATTTTTTACGTCTTCATTGCCAATGTAAGATTCTCTCCATGGAAGGTGTGCTCTTTGTTTAATGTATTCCCCTGAGTCTAGAACGGCCCTTCTACTTCCCCTCTTGATCCGGATCTTGTACACTTACAACTGTCAATAGCGCTTTGGCTAGGATGGTGCTTTGTGCCCACTTCCCCTCTCCGTGCTGATATTTGGAATGGCTTGAGCTCTCTGCACAGGTTTTGTGTGTGTTGTCACAACCCCTGAGTTCATCTGTGTGGTTGCTGTGTTGTGTCTGGAAGACAGTTTCCTTGTAGTCGCCCTACCTGGCTTTTAGATGCTTTCTAGCCCTCTTCCACAATGATCCACGAGCCTGGGAGGAAGGCGTGTGATACAGGTGTTCCATTTAGAGCTGAGCATTGCTCTAATTTTTCACACATCTTGATTCTGTTTCTTTATCCAAACCATAATATGCTTTAGTATATCTGTTTGTTTTGGTATCCTCCATGGTGCTTAACACAATGCAAGAGTCAATTGCTATTAACTAGTCAATGTTGATATTTAAATTAAATATGCTACATACAAAAATAGTTTTGTATATTGAAATATATTTTGAAAATATATTTCAAAGGATAAATTGTGATGGTTATGAACTAGGAAAATAACATTACTGCAACATTACCCGAGGATAATGATCTTTTTAAGATATTATAAAAGTTCTATCTCAGAAAAATAGTTTTGAAGGACAAGAGATAGATCCATAAAGAGCTTCTTTGGAAGACTGAACATTTAGCTTGTTTCATGCATTCAGGCACACATTCACTGTCTCTAATGATTAATTATTGAACACTATGTTTCAGGCATAAAATGAAGTTAAAATTTTTCCTGCTTAAAAGAACATAGTTTGTCACATTAAAAATTACATATCGCCATTCTAATTGCAATTGGTAGTCACAAGTGCAGAAACAGGACTACACGGCCAGTGATTGCTGCCCTCTGCAGGGAACAGCACAGCCAGTGATCACCTTCTGTCTCTCTTTGTCAATGCTCTGCTCCGTGCAGATAAAGAAAAGGGGATCCTAGCAAGCACCCTTTATCACACTTGACTAGAATGTGCACCAATAACCCATCTACGGATGGTAAGTACCGTAACTCATTTGGGTTTAGAGTTCTGCTTGCTTTCAAAGCCTGAATTATCTTAGCACTTCTGTTCTTTATTTGAACTAACGCTAGATAGAGGTTAGCTTCAAAGTTTCCTAAAATACTTCATGCCTAAAAGATCAAACTAAAAATGGATAACTGCTACAAAGACACAGTCCAAAGACCTTTGCGACAGTTTTGTCATGCGGCTCAGGTTGGCCTGGAATTTTCTATGCAATCTAACCTTTTTTTTCTTTCTCTTTTCCTTTTTCTTTTTTGAGGCAGGGTTTTTCTGTATAGCCCTAGCTGTCCTGGAACTTGCTTTGTAGACCAGGCTTGTCTCAAATTCACAGAGATCCATCTGTCTCTGTGGTCCAAATACTGGGATTGAAGGTCTATGCCACCACACCTGGCTGGCTAATTCTTAACTTGGAATTCTGCCTCAGCCTGTCTAGTGCTTCAGAAAAGTTCTTTGGGAGGTTTATCGATTCTACTTCAAAACTCCATGTTTGCATTGGAAGCCACCGGGAGTGGGGGGATGCCAGAACGTTTCCCTTTGCCAAATTCTAGCCTTGTAATAATTCCCATTCATCCTTCTGCATTTGATAGAGCCAAGGTCCCTAGACGTCATGTGTCTGTATCACACGATTTGTCAGACACTGTAAGTTGCCTCTGAGGTTAGGACAAAGTGAGAGCAGACTAGAAAAGGCTATGAAGGAACTTCCTGGAGAGAATGGTTGTCTTTGTTTTGAGTTCTGGCCTGCACAGGGCTATGAATTTATAAAAATAAACAAATATATTTAGTACTTGTGTTTCTCCATATAGATTTTATTTAAAAACAAAAACTATGAGAATAATATATGACTTCTATTGAAGCATGTGAGAAAATACACTGATGTTAGCAATTTAATTTGAAGTTTTTTTGTTTGTTTTTTTGTTTTTCGAGACAAGGTTTCTCTGTGTTGCTTTGAAGCTCTTGTAGACCAGGCTGGCCTTGAACTCACAGAGATCCTCCTGCCTCTGCCTCCTGAGTGCTGGGATTAAAGGCGTGCGCCACCACCTCCCGACTAATTTGAAGTTTTTTAATATCATTAAGAAATGAATGACTAGAAAGAATGAGTACACACAGACACACATGATAAATTAGGTCTGTGGAAGAATCGAGGTGTTGGCACCTAAGTGCACATTGTGAAAATCCTTAAAATTTGCTTCATGATTTTTTGTTTTTTTGGTTTTTCGAGACACAGTTTTTCTGTAGCTTTGGAGTCTGTCCCGGAACTAGCTCCTGTAGTCCAGGCTGACCTTGAATTCACAGAGAGACACCTGCCTCTGTTTGTGCTGGGATTGTGCCGCCACCTGGCTCAAAATTTGTCTCACATTTTAAGAATGTTATCATAAACACTGTGGGGAAATTATTAAGAAAAGCTTATGGTAAAATCTACTTGACATTTTAAATATTACATGTAAATTCATAGTTCTATCATTATGCTAGTGCTAATTTTTAAAAGAGTAAAGAGTAAGTTATATCTTTAGGTAAATGTGGCGCAGGAGCTTCCAAGAAAAATCCTGTGTAGTTTGCTCCCAAAGCACCCAGGTTGGAATGGCTACACCGCAACCCTTACATTGAGCACACATAATAACAGAAATAGGAATACTCAGCGCTCGTAAGAACCCGAAGTGGAAGAGGCACGGGAAGGAAATGTTTTTAAGGCGCCTTTCCCTACCTGGTTGTACATGTACCGCAGCATAAAGTCCATCAGGAAAGACTTCCCTTTCCTAAAGGCTCCAGCGACCGACACAGCAACTACCTCCTTGTCTCTGACAGATTCGGAGAGAAGAATCCGGTTCAACGCAGCCTCGTCTAACTCAAAGGAATGGTCATCTTTGACAATGAGGACTTGGACAGGTCCTGCCTTCTTCACTGGCTCCTCCTCTTCTGAGCTCCATTCGCTTGACTTCTCTGAAAAGCCACCTGTTGAACAAAATATCAGTTACTTTAGCTACTTATCTCAAACACCATGAAATCGATACCTCTCTGCCGCGCACTGCGCCCCCGTGTCTGCGTTCGGTGCGCTGGCACCCAGTTACCGAGCTTCGGGGAAGGGGGCTGGAGGTTAAAATACACAAACACACACAGACAGAGAGACAGAAACACGGGTCATCCTTGAATCCCCCAAGAATGCCCCCTTTATTGTGTTCAGAGGCAGATTATATAGAGATAGCCACGCCCCAGCCAAACCCACCAGAAACCACTCTCCAGCCATCAGGAACTCCTGAAGGTCTCGTGCTCAGAGCAGCTGTAGGCCAGGGCTCAATTAATCCCAACATCCAGCTGAAGGCCAGGACTTAATTGGTCCCAACACCTCTCCACTCTCAAACGGGACTGGGAATGTGCCTTCCGGTCACAAGTTTCATTTCATCCAGACCACCTCACTTAGTCCAGACCAGAGACTTAGTCTTCCTGCTCATGTGACTCAATCAATCAATAGTTTCTTTTCAAAATGTTGGTACAAAGTTCTTTACTAAACAGGAAAAAAAATATCTAAGCCAGTATTCAACTGTTAGAGCAGATGAATATCATGATTATATTTTGCAGTTCCTCCATGCCCTAGGAATAAGCTTGCTTATGTAAACAAAGAATCCTTGTGATGCTTGTGTAGATGCATGAGTGTGTGAGAGTGCCCATGCACACCAGTGCGCATACACATGAAGATCACAGGCCTTCATCAAGGCTCTTCAATTGCTTTTGACTTCACTGTTTGAGACAGATATCTCACTGAATCTGGAGCTCACTGATTCAACTAGACTGGCTGGCCAACAAGCCCCAGGGATCCCACTACAGCCACTGCCCCAGTGCTGGGCTGTTGGGTGTGAGCCACCACGCCTGATTTTCATATGACTGCTGGAAATCAAACTCAGGCCTTCATGCTGGTACAGAAAGCAGATAACTGACCCCCAAAACTTGTGTTCAGACCCCCACATGCATGCCCACACAAGACGTTCCCATTTTTACTTTTTATTTATGTGTATGATATGTACGTTATGTATCTCTGAGTGAATATGCCATGTGTGTGCAGTTACCCACGGGGCCATAAGAGGGCACTGCATCCCTGGGGCTGGAGTTGTGGCCAGTTGTGAGCCACCTGATGTGGGTACTGAACTGAGCTCAGAACATCTGGAAAGGCAACAAGTGCTCTTAAGCACTGAGCCATCTCTCCAGACCCCAACTTTAAAAAAATAAACAGAAAAAAAAGAATGACCAAAATGACTAGGAACTCTAGAAATCAATCAAGAGACCGAATCTAAGAACTCATGAGCTAGAGGGAGTTAAGATAAATACTAAAGCATAGAGTATGCCATGAAATTACAGCAGAACTTTTCCCAGTCTGAGACAAGAAAGAACATCCAAACACAAGAGGCATTTAAATGACAAACAGAAAACAGAGATCGACATACACCCAACATCTAAAACTACAGCACAAGCACAAGTCTTTACACTCTTCACAAGCTAATACCGATGTAGAGCAATTGTTAGTTTAATAATAAATTTTGTTGTAATATTCTTATGTACTTAGCACTTTGCCATGTTTTATTAACTCCTTATGAAAATCTTAAAAAATTTTGCATTTATTGAGCTTTGGAGTTTTGCTTTTGATAGTTAAATCTGTTAGGAATTGATACTTGGAAGAAGTAAAAGGGAAATCAAACTTTTCCTATACCAGCACCAATAACAGTCTATCTTAATTGAAATAGATTAGAAAAGTCATGTAAAGCTTCTTTTATTCATTTAATCGGTATTAGTTTGAACTATTTTAACACTTTGCAGAGAAATACTATACTCAATATGCTAATTAAATTTAAAATTGCATTGTATTGCTAGGCATAGTGGAAGATGGTGGCAATCCAATAACTGGCAAGGCTGGGGCAAGAGGACCTTGAATTTGAAGCTAGCCTGGGCTATGCAGTAAGAAAAGTATGCCCTCTTCTGGCCGCATCAGGCACTGCATGCATGTGACAGAGGTAGGCAAAACACTCACATAGAAAATAAAAACAAGTAAAACCTCTTTAAAAGATAAAACTAGGAATTGTGCTGTGAAGTAGAGTGGTGACTTCAGTGGCCTGAGTAGTGGGTTACCAGTACCAGTCACGGTTTCCCTATTGTTGAAAGGGTCTTAAGTTTAATTAGATACCTGCTAGTTAGCGCAAGTTAGGTGAGCCAGCGTAATCACTAGCAACAATCTAAACATCTGTCCATATACCCACAGGTAGGTTGTCACCCCTCCCTCATGAAAAATTCTCTTTGTAACAGATGGAAACCACTACAGAAAACCAGAACCAGTCAAATGTAGAATTACAGAGTCTATTCACAACACTCTTGTACCCAAGACTCAGGGAATGTTATGGAAAAGAAAACAGGGACGATTGTAAGAATCTGAGGACCATGGAGTTTGTTGTGAGATTATGTCTCTTAGTAATGTCAAAAGACAACCATAGTCTCACCAAGATGACTAGCCAAACATGAGCTGAACAAGGATGACATCAACAGACACGCGAAAGTGGATAAAGAAAACTCATAAGGCCTCAACCCTACACAAAGAACTACAGACAACTAAGGGATGCTGAGAGCAGAAGAAATAGTCTTCCCAGGGAAGAGCACCCAATTGCTTTCCCAATACCAAATGGTCTTGATACAATCAAGTAACATAATACCATCTCAGAGGGTTATAGCTAGGAATATATATCTATATACATATATGAATAATAATTAATGAAAAAGGGGCCATAAACTTGAAAGAGAGCAAGTCGGTATAAAGGGCAGTTTAGAGGGAAGAAAGGGAAAATACCGTAATTATATAATGATCCCCAAAATAAAAAGATAATACTGCACACTTAAAGAAAACAGAAAACCAAGCTGACAGTGGTGGCACATCCCTTTAATCCCAGCTCTCAGGAGGCAGAGGGAGGCGGATCTCTGAAAGTTCGAGGCCAGCCTGGTCTACAAAGCAAGTTCCCAAACAACCAGGACTCTGCAGAGAACGCGTCTCAAAAACAAAAAAGAAAGAAAGAAAGAAAGAAAGAAAGAAAGAAAGAAAGGAAGGAAGGAAGAAAGGAAGAAAGGAAGAAAGAAAGAGAAAGCCCAAGTGCTGACAAGAGCTAGAGAGATGGCTCAGAGGTTAAGAGTACCAGCTGCTCTTCCAGAGGTCCCGAGTTCAATTCCTAGCAAGCACATGGTGACTCACAACATCTATAGTGAGATCTGGCGCCCTCTTCTGGCATGAAGGAATACATTCAGGCAGAACACTATTCGTAATAAATCTTAAAAAAAGAAACCCTGTCTCAAAAAAAAAAAAAAAAAAAAAAAAACCCAGAATGGAAGTAAAGAGAATACTAATAATTTCCAAGTAAGAAGGCAAAATAGCACAGCATATTTGCAAACTGTTTGTTTCTCACAGAGCTGCATATATGCTTACCCAAAGACCCAGAAATACCACTTCTAGAAATTTATCCAAGATAAATGAAAACAAAGAAGTTCATCCAGAGATGTTTACAGTAGCTCTGTAGATATACTGGTTAAAATATTGAACGTACGCAGATGCTCCTTGCCTGGGAACTGAACAAACAAATGGTATATTCACAGGATGGGATATTATTCACCAGTGAGAGAGAATGAACTATTGATTCATACAACATGATTTAATCTCACTTAAACAGCAATATACTACATGGTCCCACTTATATGAAATGTCAATAGTAGACTAAGTAGATTAGTGTGGCCAAATGATGAGTAGAAGAAGAAACTGACTACAAAGAGAGGAAAAAGTATATGGTTATGTAAAGATTATACTCTAATCACGGTATCATAACATGATTGTATAAATTTATCAAAGTCACAAAATGGTACACTGAGAGCATCAGATAGATAATGGCTATGATTGGTGAGAAAAGTTCAAATTTGCAGTATTTGCCAAGTGCCATGAGAAAATGCCACCACCCATGTAAACAGATACTAGACTTTGGTTTTCTGCCTACCCAGACCCGAATAATCATACAGAAACTATATTAATTGCAACACTGCTTGACCAATGGCTTAGGCATATTCCTAGCTATCTCTTACAATTAACCCATTTCTATTCATCTGTGTATCACCATGAGGCTGTGGCCTACTGGTTAAGTTCCAGTATCCTCCTTCAGCAGCTACATGGCTTCTGCCTAGCTCTGTTATACCCTGCCATAGGGCAAAGCAGTTTTATTAACCAATGGTAATAAAACATATTCATAGAATACACAGGGGAATCCCACATCACACCCAGGCCCACTGCAGTGAGACTATGGGAATGGGAAGAGGGACACAGATCAGCCAGCATGATGCCAACATACAACTGTAATCTAATGAAAGGAACTTCAGACCTCTAGGGAAAATACAAAACAGTACTAAAATACAGATACAAATTTCCCAGACTTAAAGACTACATAGTAAATAAGTCAACATTACCTTCGATTTCTGGATTTCTAGCAATAATAAAATTCTCAATAATATTTCCTACACAAATCAACAAGCTAGAAACACAAAGAACAAAAGCTAACAAAGAAATCTTGGAGAACAAAGTTGGAGGATTAGCCATTGCTGTTTAGAATGCATAGTAATTAAGATCTGGTGATATTGGCTAGGTATGGTGGCACATGACTGATATCCTAGCATCCAGGAAGCTGAGGCTAGAGAACCACTGAGACCTCAAGCCTAGCCTGAGCTACAGAGAAAAGTCTAATCTGGAGTAGGCTACATAAAAGGAAAAAAAACACAGTTGTGGTTGTTCATTTCTAGAATAGCAGCACTAGGGAAGCTGAGGCAAGAAGATTGCCAATTAAGGCAAACCTGAGCTACAGGTTTAGAAAAAGAAAAGATAAGGCAAGAAAAAAGATAATAAAAAAAAGGGGTTAATGATTCCTCACACACACACACACACACACACA